TGATAGATTTGTGTTGTTGTTAGCCAGTAAGAGGAGAGATGTCTAAATATCAGGAAATAGGATTCCAAATCCTGCCGTCTGAAGCTACTTTTTCCTCTAGCTGACTTTTGCTTTCTCTAACAGGTGCACCGGAGTTTTTTTTTTAACCCGGAGAACATCTTACAAGGCATTCATTACTGCTCAAAACCACTGCAAATGTATTCAAAGTCTGAGTAAAGTCGACCTTTAAAAAATCTGTTTGGTAAACCTATTAAGAAATTCCAGACAGACTCAGCTCTTGGATACGTCGGATTCTCCTTATAGAGTCACCCCAAAAAGAATGACTTAAAACTAAAACATGAAGACACATGTAAAAATGGATTAAATGAAAATGAACTTTAAAATTAACAACAAAAATACTTGTTTCATAGACTTAATGTTACTGAATAAGAAAATTCAAAACTGGGATCTAAATGTACAAACATTTTAAATGTGAAATCTTCTATTTTACTCCCTTGTACTGAAATTCCACAAGCTGTGCATTTCTTAGATGTGACCTCTGGTCCAGAAATAATACAAAAATCTTCAATTGTTCCCAGACAGTGGGCCTGTGCAGCACTAATGATGGGTAAAATACAGAGCCGAGCAGGCAGTGCAATGCGCTTTGATGAATCTGGTGATTACATTCTAAAACACTTCTTTGCTCTACAAACTGCTGTGACATAAAGTAATCCTGTTCACGTCTCGCTGACTAAAAAAAGCCTGCTTTTTAGTGATGTGTGAATCACACAAGCACCCGCTTTTTGCTTTTCCTGCTTCGGATTATGGAAAAGAGGTGCTTTTAGTTTGATCAAGCGCTGTGGTAGTGTCGCCTATCTAAGTTAATTCATCTCATTAACTCATTAGATTTCACTTGATATTTGCACAGTCCTCACTGTGATCTTCAATGAATTATTCAACAGCAAGGGCCATAGATCCTTTTGTGCTAAGCACGACATGTGGAGGAATTAAAACTGGGCTAGGCCACTGATGGAGAGTGCACTTCCCACCTAGAATGACAAGCAGTCATGAACTAGGAAGAATCTAGCTTATGTTTATGAAATGCAATTTTCCATGCACAGTGGGATGCATGGATGTGGGTGTTTTTTTGTGTGGCCTGTACGAGCACCAGACATAAAACTGTGACCTAATTTTTGTTTTCTTTTCTCCAGTTTACTGTTTGCTACACAAGTATCATGATGCTACTTTACCTGTGTGATTTATTATATTAGCTGCAAAGCATCTTGTGATACAACAAAATGTATGAAGAGTGCCTTTATAAATAAACGTTGACTGGGTGTAAGTTGTTTTATAACGTGCAATAAATGTTTTTATGCAGTCCTTGTGAGTTCAGAAACAAAACAAGAATTATTAATTTCCTTAAAAATGCTTCCAAAGAGCTTTCTCGGTTCACACCAAGATATGTTGAGTAACCACATTTTGAACTGCAGTGAGATTCTAGATTTTATATAGAGGTAAATAGATATTATTGGATATAGTGAAGCCCATTTCTCTCATAACTCTAAATCAGGGGTGTCGAACTCAAATTCACACTGGGCCAAAATGAAAAACTGGGACGAACTCGTGCGCTAAACTCGATATATTTTTTAAAAGTGACAGAAAATGTGCACATTTTCCTTTATCTACAGATATGAACTGTTGAACCTTTTCATGTGGAAACAAACTTATTTTTTTCAGTAACACAGAATGTGGAATAACCAAATTACACACGAGCAAGTCCATTTTAAATAAAGCACACACCAGTGGTATTCGTTACTTATGTCTCAATTTTTTAGAAATATTTTATTTCTTAAAATCTGCATATATTCAGTATTTCTTCTTTTTTATTTTTTGAATCTTTTAAGTGTTTCTATTTAATGTTTTCTTGTTTATTCTTTATTTTTTTACTCTCCTTTGTTGCTCCTGTGATGAACGTTATTGCTGCTGTGACACCAAGCTTTCCCCACTGATGGACAATTAAAGGATTTACTATTTTATTTCTATTGTTCTATCTGTAATCTTTCCTGTTTTAAAGTAAGTGAAATCTTTTTTCACAGGCCAACAACATAAATAAAAAATAGTAATTCTCTTAAATGAAAATGCAATATCTCACCCATTAACTTTCAAGCTTTGGAGCAGAAAAGGTTAATAAAACCAAAATAATTAAATCCCAGTTTTCTCCACTCTGATTTCCTGTGATGTTCACCTGTTCCAGCCAGACCTGCATCTGTGGGGTTGGGCTCTGAGCTGAGGAAGGAGTTCATCAGTGAGAAACAGTTGCTCACACATGTTTGTGCTGCTGGACATGGAGAGCATCTGGACCACGCAGTTGTGTCGGGGAGTGGGATAAAAGCTGCAGCAGCCACAGAGTCATAGTGACTTGAGCGTGTCGCTAAACTGGAGTTAAATTATCTCGGTCTGGAAGCTGGTCGGCGCGCTTTCTATGTCAGCAGCAAACATATTTGAGCTGTTAAAATATACTTCTGGGCTTCGAAGTCGGCTAAGTTCTGAGTAAACTTGCTGAGTTAGAGGTGTGTTTTCAGTTTGTCCGAGGCAGAGGAGGTAACGCTTCAGACGCTGATGCTAGCAGCATGGACGCTAATGACTGTAAAGACATACCAGTTTTTCTCCTTGAAGCATCAACATTTTCCATCTTTGTTGAAACACCTTCCTTCTGCATCAATCTTTCTCTTCCTGGACATTTTGGGATGATGTGTGGACAGTTATTTTGTCTTGTTGCATTAATTAAACACGGAAGTGGATACACTGCGACCTAGTGGCAAGTCACTGCACTGAGAACACAATCGCCATGCATTATGGGAAATGTAGTTTATAGCCAATGTGCACTTTGAAGCGGCATAGACTTATTTTAAGACAGCTGAATCTCTCGCGGGCCACATAACATCATGTGGCAGGCCACATCTGGCCCGCAGGCCTTGTGTCTGACACATGTGCATTAAATGAATCAAAATGGGAGGTTCCCCACCACCACCAGCTTGCCCTCAGTTATGTTCAGTTCATGAGTGTTCACATTCTATTGATATTCATAACTGAATGACAGGAATATAAGTCTGATGCACTGCCCAGACAATTTAGGGTACAGACCTGTGGAAACATGGTTGCAGCTAGTGTTTCCCTCATGCAGCGTGGATTGTACTCAGCAGGTTTGATGGCAGGACTTTGGAATACATCCTATCCTTCAAACTCACTGAGTAATTTTTCACAGTATGAGCAAAGCAATAGCTGCTGCCAGGTTTCCTACAGTCCGTCCCCATGAGTGACCAGTTACAGACAAACACGCTCTAGGGAAATGGTAACTGACTTACATTATTTCAAAAGTAACTCTTTAGATGAACAAATATTGGTAAAAGTAACAAAATGATCTTAATGAGTGCCTTGTGTGGCTGAACTTGTGGCTGCTGCCTGTAACCTGTTTTATCTACATGTTGTGTGTGAACCTTGTTCGAGTTGTGTTGCAGAGACAAATGTCAATGCTCCAGGACGCTGGTGCATTGACAATACCATTGATTCTGATTAGCACATTATTAGTAATGCGTTAGTACCAAACACTGTGCTCAACGTTCAAAGACACTCTTTTGATGGCTATTTCAGGTCAGGCAGCCATTGCTCCTGTTTAGCCCCAAATAGGATGCTAAAGTTTAGGCTTCATTTAACCCATTTGCATGTCCAACTGCAGCCAAAACAAGATGCTGAAAAGGATTTGACTTGTCTAAAGAAGTCCAAATGTAGCCCAAAGAGCTTGAAATAAAAGATTTTCTACTTAGCGTCCAAGAAATATTTTCACCTTTTGCTTTTAAACAAAATTTCATCATGATTTAGAAGGCAGATAAAACCATCTTTTCAATGGATTTTCTATGAAATGTAATCCCCTTAGTGTTTTCTTGCAATTCATGTCTTCAGGAATGTGGTGAAAACTTCTTGTGTTTGGACCAGATAAAGAAAGACTAATGTGCTTCTGAAGGGATGATTGGGGGTTTTGACGTTAAAACTATATTAACAAAAGTTTCATACATCTTGGAAACTTGTCTCTGTTCTTTTAATTGGATGCACCATTTTTAAGGAAGTTTTTGAACCTACTGAGGTTGCCATGCCCTGCATGAAGTAAGTTGACATAGGTTTGGATTGTTCAAAATATTGGACTAAATCATATATCATTGGTGTCTAGCAAAAAACAAAGTCTTATTTCAGACATTTATTGTTAACTTGTCCATCGTTTACCTGCCTGGAGACACTAAAATTGTGGGACCTTTAAACAGTCTCTGCACATATTTACAAGGTATTCTCTAAATGTTACAAATGGACCAATCACAGCTCTTTATGTGCATTCAAATACAGTATAAAACATGCAGCCTAAATTTGTGATTTATATTTCCCCTTTTTAATTCAGAACATTCAGTAGCCTAGCCTAGAAATGTAGACCTACAGTAGCAAAGGCAAGACGATTTTGCTCGGCAGGTTGGTCTAGCCACGCCTCATTAGGTATACCAAGTGCCTAGCATTTTTGAGTCTTGCCAATCATAGCGCTCTACTGGTTTGGTGGGCCAATCGCAGTGATCTATTGGTTTGGTGGGAAGGATGATGCGACAGAGTGGAACAACTAAGATGGCGGCGGCTTATTTGAAACCACTTCGGCATCAACTTTGGACTTTTTGTGGTCTTTTTATTTTCAAAATAGGACGAATTTGCATTTTCTTCAACATCGTATGGTGGACTGCCTCGTTGACTGACATCGTGGTGTTGAGTTTGTCACATTCTTCGTTGTCCAACGACAGTTTTAAAGACAGCTGTAGATTCTGCCATTAGCTCTCTTCATGGCTCATGGCCAATGTATTCTCATATATTAGCTGGCTTGCCAGGCTATTAGTAACCAGCAATTTAACCAGTTTTGGAACTTTCAAAGTAAAAGTATTTAGAGTTTTGATTGTAATCAACACAGTACAAAGGAAGCAGGAAAAAGAACATAGCTGGCAGGAATAAACATTTTTACTAAGTTACAGTTATAGAAAAAAACCAACACAAATAAACAAACAATGATTAACATGCACAATTTTAGTATACAAGACAATACAGTTACTTTTCAATATGAAAATACCGTTCTACATGTGAGTATCTCACAGAGATCATTGATTAATACATCAGTATTAAAGCCAGAGAACACACTATATAAAAGCAGTAAGTTTGCCTTTGATGGCCATGTTTTATAAAATATATGCAAGCTATATACATTGTACCATGTGCACTTCTTTCTATGAACAAAACCCACAAAATCTAATCTAACTGTGCCAACCTCATGGACAGTAATAGATGTTTTTCTTGTTGTTAATCTGTGATAACTACCATTTAATCAATACAACTGGCTTTCATCACGTCCTTTCATTAGATTGTACATTGAAGCAATAATTAAAGCGTATGGCCAAAAGAAACATTTGTTCTTTAGTGAGCATGAGTAAAGATTAGAGACATTAAGCTAATCTACAAACATGTAAGTAATAATTAAAAAAAAAAAGTTGCCACACAAGTTATGTAACATAAAAACCTTTTAGCTTGCAATCTGGAGATCATTTGGAAATTTTTAGCAACAATAATTACTACACTTGAAAAAACACAAGCAGCTTCAAAGCCAAGTCACACCAGAAATTAGCACAGTGATACATTCTCAATTTGTGTGTACTTCTGAGGTACTGATTTAGAACATCCCATGAGTAAAAAAAAAAAAGGCTGGTAAAACCTTAAGTAATAATCAGGTGTAATTTGGTAGTTTGAGAACACACATTTTGTCAGATATGTGTATAAATGTTTATCTGCAAAGTCTGCTTGATGGGATTTGTCAAAATTAACAGTAATTACATTTCAAACTGACTAGAAATTGAAGCCATAAGTTGCTTTATGTGAATCTGGTGCATCTTCACAATGCATTAAGATGCCACCGAGGTATTTATGATGCATCTATGCTAATCAACTGGGTTTTACTCGGATATTTTCAGCATTGCACCTTAAGATGCACCTCTGCTCTCTCACCATCGCTGCATGTACAAGTTCCCATGATAAACCTGCTCCAGTCCTGTAAGACTCTCTCATCCCAGCCGTTCACTAGAAGCATAGCCATCGTGTAACGTCGTCAAAGTGTAATAACCAGCTAACAGCTACCATTAGAGTCAAAGGACTTGTTTTCAGTGGGTGTGGTGTGGCGTGTCTTGGATGATTCCCAGAAATGTAGAGTCACAGCTCTCCTGTAAATTTACACTTTGTCTATTTTTTACACGCTAAGGTTCCAGAACACATAAATCTCACCAGTTAGGATCGGTTCAGATTGGAAATCAAACACAGAAGCAGTGTAGAGCACCTGCAAATTTCAAAATAAAGTATATAGGCAGATTTTCTAGTAAAAGCAAATCTGCCAGGTTAGGGCTGGAATCGAAAACCGGTTCTTGTTGAGAATTGATTCCCACTCTTTCAATTCCTAGGAATCGTTTGCCATTTTTGCAAATTATTCCCATATCAATTACAGATGTATTGTTGTGTGTCCCATTTTTTTCTATTCTTTCTCTTTCTGCAGGTCTAGAAGCAGACTCTTGTTCATTATTGTTTATTTTTGTGGAAACCCCACCCCCCACCCCCTTCCCCCCTCTCTCCCCACCTTTTGTCTTTTCCTTTCTCTTTCACCTCTGTCTCCGTGTCTGGTCAGAATTACAAAGCATTCAAAAACAATAACAATAAAGTTTTAAGTATCAGGTGTGACATTAAAAGCAGACACTTTGATGCTCCACCTGAGAGTAAATCTGTAAGGCTTGTCACCAGCATTCAGACATCAATAGACCCTTTTACTACCTACGTCATCAAAAGTTGCGCGCGCAGCCTGGCAACGAGAGTGAAGGCTTCCTCATTCACAATCGATACTAAAACAGCGTTTTAAACCCTTTGTTTTGAAGTTCTGAGCACATAAAAATGTCGGGTTGTTGCGTGTATGGATGCCAGAATCGCTTCTCTTCAAGCAGTGGACTGAAACTTTACAGAATTCCGAAGGGAGCACATCCATTTCAACAAAATCGGAGGCGTCTGTGGCTTCAGGCCATCAAAAGGGTTGATGAAAACTGGACTGAAAACACGATCCGAAATGCTCGAGTTTGTAGCGCCCATTTTATATCAGGTAACTATGTACTAAGATTACATATAAATTTATACGCTTTATTTCATGCTTCAAATTAACATTTCATTCTTATTCATCTGTATTTTCCCACTGCATATTAGTATAAACTGTATTTCTCTAAAATTAACACGATTGTACTCTGAGCACGCTAAAAAAAGAAACCTATGCTATACTCACCCTGCCATGCAGGTACAGTTGGATGTGAAAACGTAGTTCTCTGGTTTGTTTACTATGACCCAAGCCTCGTACATAGCAGTCTTGTGTCCTTGTCTTTGGCTAGGAAGGACTTCTGCCTTCAAGACGCAAAACTCAGAGTCTATGTCGTGATATTTTACTTTCTGTACGTGGCCACAGACAACATAGTTGTATGCATCTAACGATTTGTATGCCCGTAGCTTCTCCCATGTGTACTTACTGGGCCTCTCCACTAAAAACGTATATATATCGGGCCACTGGATATCTGGCCACGCACCTACATCTTCCACCCATTCCGTAATGCCACAGGGATCCGGGAGTCTGTTGCCATTCGTTAAAGTGAGTTTAATAATATAACATTCAAGATTTGCCGGTGATAACCCCGCAGCGTAGCTTGATAAAGCCTGACACAACGCCATTCTCTGTTGCCAAGCTGCGCGCGCATTCTCGCTGATGTCATATTGTTTACAAACAGTAAAAAGGTCTATTCTGTTTGCTTCACAGCCAGACAGGACACGGTAAAAAAAAAGAGAAGGAAATAACGTCACCACGCACATTACGTTGCATACGCAAGCTATTTGTGTAGCTTGTGCATTTACTCAGCAGCAAGCATGGTGCCTAAGTGGCACAAATGCTAGAAAGCTTGGTTTTACTTTCAAGAAAGGGTGACAACAGGGTAACTTGCAAAGCTTGCAAAGTAGACATTTCATCAAAGGGGGGAAATGCTACAAATGTGCAAAAGCATTTGCACAAAAATGTCACAATAACAAGTGAATGTTGTGTTTATGATCCGCTCCAGACTAGTGAATTTCAATGCAGCAGCAGCGTCCTGCACATCTTCTACTGTAATTTATCAGCTAACACTGCCTATCATGTTAGCTTCGTTTGCCTTAAATACACACCTCCATACTAGCAGACTCCAGCAGCTATAGTCCGGTCTGTGGTGAGATTTTGCTCGATTAGTGAAAGCTACAGCAACACTATGGCATAAACGAAGATGACTCTGCCTACACAAGGAGCATAAAAGAGAACATTTGGAAATAATAATGGAAAGAGCATTCTTTCTAACCGATACCAGTTACAACTGATTATTTATCATTAATAAACTGTTTGAATGCAGGAGGCCGTGTGCAAAATATTTCTTGCCATCTATTGAACTACTCTGGAATTGATAATGAATTGAATTAATAGATAGAATCAACAATGCAATTATTGTTATTAATATTAATTACCACCCCTCGTCCTGGTGCATTAAACGGTGCATGTTTGGTTATTTAAACAGAGAGGTAACTGATAAAAGACTCATTTAGCCATATTGAGATATGAATGCACAATTCTATTTCAAGTTGCATAAAGCTGCATATATTTCTGTCAGAGGAAACTGAGGATCGCACACATGGTTAAAGTGACAGTGCGTATTTTTCTTGTCAATAGGGACAGTAGATACCTAAATTGTTGCAAGCAAGCAGTATTTTTGTGTTGGAGTGAGACCTTACCAGGTGCCCATTAGGGTCAAAAAAGGAGTGCAAACTTTGGCTAAGTAACAAGCACATCAGACTCCCTTTCATCACTGGCAGCAAGTGAAGAGGTAAATGTGTACAATGACAACATTTAAGAAGGACGAAAGTTTTGTAACTGTTTGTTACAAATCAGTAAATGCATTATGTCCTCATGGGCTCCCGTAGAAGGAAACATGGCACTAATATGGTGTCACCCAGAGACTTTGACCCACTCCCATGTTCTTTAGACCGAATTTTTATGGCTATATGTTACAAAGTCGCCAATATTTTTCAACAACTGGGCATAATTTCATTCATTTTCATCAACGTTTGGATGGATGTTACCAGAAATTAATGGTAAAAACTACGCATTGTCTGTTTAAGGTAGAACCATTTTGTTTTGCAAAACATTCTTTCTGACTAAAAAAAAAATATATATTTAGATCAAAGCAAGCAAGGCTAAATTGTGGTTAAGAGGGAAATTCACAGTTTAAAATGCTGGTGTGACTCAGCTTCTTTGCTGTTGGCAAGAATGATGCAGTGGTATTACCATTTGGGCACAACACAACTGTTTGTTTTGATAAGCAACTCAAAAGAACCAACCAGCTAATCAATTTCAGGTCAGTGCTCCAATTCACAGTTTACAACACCACAGATACATGTTTCTGAGTCTGAGCAAGAAAAGCTGCTGGGAAAAGAAAACTGCCTACAGTGATGTTACTGGTCAAACCAAAACAAAGTTAGATACATATAAAAAATAAGAAGTTGGTATGATGAGAAGTAAAGAGGTAGAAATGGAGGACATTTGAAACATCATAGACTATAACACAATATAGCAGGTGCATAAGGACTTGGCCTTCAGTCAGTCAAGCAGCTGAATTGTGACAGCCACAATAATGGGCAAGGAAAATCAATATCCCATTGACTGGTCTGCAGGAGTCTAATCAACGAGCACAGACTTTTATGAATCCAGTCAAGGAGCAGATAAGGACAGCCTGATTATGTCAGCCGTTTGGACCTTTTTATGAGGCCTCTGGGGTCAAGCACACTTGTTCGGACAGTTAAGTGAGGACATCCAGTCACCTTGCATCACTTCCTTGTGCTTTCAAGAGTTCAAAATGCAGAAAACAAAAAGGCCCTAGCTAACGACTGTACACAGTCCCGTGTTTGGCAAAGGCACAGTAATGTGTAGCAACTCAGTTGTATCTAATATCACCGGGACCCGAGCAGTCACACCTCGGCTCTTATTTAGATGTCCTATGTCAGACAGACTCATCCACATGATGAAAGGCTGTAAAAAGTGGCTTTCTCAGCGGAGAAGTAATGCTCCTTTGTTGTTTTCCAGTCTGCTGTGTGTCCAGCAGACCGAGGTGAAGTGGGATGGGGGTAACCACACCTTGTGCTCCATTTCCAGTCAGACCTCTTTTCTCCCTGTATTTGCATCTATTATTCTGATGCTCTAATAGCCAGTAAACTACGGCGAGGATGGAGTCAGACATTTATTATACCACAGGTCATAAATACTGGTACCAAAATGTCCTACTACATATTGAAATCTATAGCAGCTCTCGTAAATCTGCCAACCTCTTTATCTTGGGTGCTCCTGTGCCCAGATGAAAATTTAATCAACACACCACTTCCCATAAGGGGCAGCTCCCGCATTCGGAGCTTCCTGTCTTTTGTGGTTGATATTTTACACAAAAGCAAAGCAAACAATCCCCCTGCTGCATCACAAGTCTTTCCATACGCTATCTGAAGAGGAACGAGAGAAACCACCTGGGTGAGCTCTAGTGAAGGCACTGTTATCCTGCAGTCCCTCTGTGCACGGTGGCAGGGGGTCATTTGAGTTGTTGATGTAGCATCTTCTGCTGCCGTCTGAATGCAGAGATGCAGCGTCACACATGGGATCTCCTTGATGTAGTTACGCCACGTGTCTGTTTCCCTCAATCCCCATTTTTTCGCTAGACCGAGAATGCAGAGCGTGATAGGCATTTATTATTTAGAGGAGCATGAGAAAGAGAGCAAAATGCCAAGATCTATCAGAGTGTTGTGAAAGGGGCCTAAAGCTTAGGAGCCCGTGGCTCGCTAACAGACTCAACATTATTTCAGCAGTCAGAGATAAGTGGGTTTCAGGCACAGCTGATCAATTATGCATCTGTCATATATTTGACAAAGCCTGGTGAAAATCTTATGCCTAGAACAGATATTTTTGCTGGCAACCGCTGCTCAAAAAAACATGCTTATGAATTAATGGCTTTGGGATAATTTGACAGGCTGAAAAATGGGTACGGCCAATGACTGTATTGTAATGACTGCTGAGGTTCGCTGTGTGAACACTTTCTTAGGGTTTATGCAAGCAGTCGCTCTCACCTACTTTGGTATGGACTGTTTTAGTAAAGTGGGTTTTAAGGCAATTGTATCTCCAATGATACAAATGTAAGTCATGTAGAGATAAAAAATGTATAAAAGGAAACTTGAAGGACAGTGGCACTTTCAATATGGGGAAGAAAAACAAAATTGTTTCATGCATGGGTATTAAAAAAAATGGCATGGTCCCTTTAAGAGTTTGGTGCAGTCCAGTATTTCCTCCCTTTCCCCCAGTTACTGAAACCGGGGCCTTGTGCCATTCCAGTGGAGGGTCAACTTGGGGCAGGCTTAAATGAAGAGATGGAGGAGGAGCCCCACAGGCGGAGGTGGGACATCACCAGATGAAGTAGAGCAGTGCGCTGATGAGGACTGTAGGGGAGGGCAGCCGTCTAAGGCGGGAAGCTCCAGAGCCTCGAGCTCCCATGCCTGCAACAAAACCAGTCCATCAGGCTGTGAGAAATTGGAAGTACCCCCCCCCCCCCCCCCCTTCTGCAAGCATGCTCAAATGTAAAGATTATATAGTCATTTATCTACATGAACTATAAATAAATTCTTCCATGCTGGAAAGACCTAAATTTGTGAGAAAAACTGTCAAAATGACCAGGATGAAAACTTAAGTTTACAGCAAAACTAGATTTATAACTATAAATTATTGATTCTTGAGGGGGGAAAAGCAAAAGTGTGAGATTAGAGAGATTTCTGAACATGAGAAATACATTTCATGGGAAAAATGTCAAATTCGTGGAAAACAAATGTTGCAAACAGGCTCAGGATCTGGAAAACTCTTGTTTTTAATCCAAGATTTGATTTGAGTTTTTCTCCTGAATGTTGTGACTATATTTCTTCTAATGTCTGAATTCATAATGTCAAGAAAACAAAATTATGAAATCTTGTAATCTCAGTGACTTATTAGTTATTTTTTTAATGTATGTCTATAAATGTTCCCCTGAAATGAATTCCTCGCCCTGTACCACAAGGACTTTAACACACCATTGTAACACTTTGGTACCCTCTAAATTTCTGACACAAATCAGAAACCAAGTGTGACTTTTTCCATATCTAGACCATTACTGGCTTTCGACAGCACAGGCTATTAAAGAACCCTGAGAAGATAAAGTTGGTATTGCATCAGAGGGGAGCTCAGCAAACCGCTTTATATGCTGCAGCACTGTGCAGCCAGTCAACAAGGAATAAAAACCCAACGGCAGGGATAGACGACACCGTGCACGCTTATCTTAAAGGTGTCTTCCCCTGCACTCCTAATAAGTCTATTAAATAAGGTTGAAATTGAGAACGATGAAGGAAAATGTAACCTTTATCTAAATGATTAAATCTTCACTAAAGCGTTATCGGTGGTCAAAAAGGAGGAGATATGAAGAAGGAAGAAAGGCCTACTCACTTAATTTGTGGATGTGGATGGGTTCACTGGCCATGCCTTCACCACCTTCACTCAGAACCTTGATTTGAATAAGATAGTTGTCACTAGCTGAGAGGCTGAGCTCAGCTGTGGTTCTGTTGGTGAAGATGGTGTTGATGTCATTGTATCTGTGTCTTTTCAGCACCACCTAAAACAAGAGCGAGCAATGAAATATATGCAAAATACAGATCAGATGATGAATCAGAGCTTTGTGTAGGGCTTGGACCTACCAAATATCCAGTCACCTTTGACTCCGTCTCCATGGTTACCACAGGGTCCCAGTGTAGCGTTAGCGTGGAGCCAATCATGCTCCATTGTATATTGAGCGGCCCCCGATCTGGCGCTGGAACATAAATCAGATGTCGATTTCTATCTTTATAAGTATAGTTGGCTGCATCTGGTGTTTCTAAAAGACTGCATGGATGTGCAACGTGAACAGAAGCTAAAAATTGGAGTTATCCACAACCTCAAAAATAAAACAGTATAATTAACAGTAATCTTGAGGCTGAAAAATACAAAAACTGAATCAAAATACTTTGTAAATAAGTGTTAAACTGTCCATTTTGGGTTATTTGGGCACACTTGTGATGAAGTGGTGCAGGATCTGTTCCAAAAATAAAAGATTTAGAAAAAAATGAGACTACAGAGAGAATAAATAGGTGTTTTTATTCCTGCACTGTTATCTTCTCAACCTTGTCTTTGGCTAAAGCATTCTGAGAGCTGTTACCATTTTTATATTATTATATGAATAATATACAGGTGAAAAAAAAGGATATGGAAGTCCATTTACTCAGGAACCCGCTGCAGGTGTTCTGGATTCATCAGCTGATTAGAGTGTGACACTTTGAGTCTAGAATATTGACTCTTACAATAATCTAATTATCTGAGATTTTGAATGTGAGGTTTTCATGAGCTGTAAGACATAATCATCACAAATAGAACAAAAAAGGCTGAAAAATCTGGATTTACCTGTTTTGACTCTGCCTCATATATCAGTTTAACCTTTTAAGTTGAATTACTGAGATAAAGAAAATTTCCACCATGTTCTAGTTTTTTGAGTTTCACCTGTATGAAATTTAAATACAAGAAGAGCATAAATAATAATAAAACATGAAGAATAAATAGGAATAAAATAATCAATGTTGGCATATTGGAATTTTTAGCTGTTTATATGAAGCACAATGAAAAAGTCACAAAAACTAGATTTTCTTCTTATTTTTAGTCATCTTGATCAGTGATGATGTCATTGGCGGTGCTCTGATGATGGCTACAGTGTTAGCTAAAATCAATAAGAAAAATACGCAAATAAAAAAGTAAAGTTTTTTTTTATAAATAATGCAGAATTGTAGCCTTATAAGCTATATATACATATATACATACACACACACACACACACACACACACACATATATATATATATATATATATATATATATATATATATATATATATATATATATATATATATATATATATATGCACACACACAAACCGGATTCCCAAAAAGTTGGGACACTATACAAACTGTGAATTAAAACTGAATCCAATGATATGGAGGTGCCAACTTCTAAAAGTTTATTCAGAATAGAACATAAATCACGGAACAAAAGTTTAAACTTAGAAATATATCATTTTAAGGGAAAAATATGTTGATTCAAAATTTCGTGGTGTCAACAAATCCCAAAAAAGTTGGGACAAGTAGCTATAAGAGGCTGGAAAAAGTACATTTAAGCATAACGAGGAGCTGGAAGACCAATTAACACTAAATAGGTCAACTGGCAACATGACTGGGTATAAAAAGAGCTTCTCAGAGTGGCAGTGTCTCTCAGAAGCCAAGATGGGTAGAGGATCACCAATTCCCACAATGTTGCGCAGAACGATAGTGGAGCAATATCAGAAAGGTGTTACCCAGCGAAAAACCGCAAATACTTTGCAGTTACCATCATCCGATGATTCCGAAAATCTGGAACAATCTCTGTGCGTAAGGGTCAAGGGCGTAAAACCATACTGGATGCCCGTGTTCTCCGGGCCCTTAAACGACACTGCACCATGAACAGGAATTCTGCTGTAAAGTAAATCACAGAATGGGCTCAAGAATACTTCCAGAAACCATTGTAAGTGAACACAATCCACCGCCGTTGCCAGCTGAAACTCTACAGTGCAAAGAAGAAGTCATTTCTAAGCAAGATCCACAAGCTCAGACGTTTTCACTGGGCAGGGATCATTTAAAATGGAGTGTGGCAAAATGGAAGACTGTTCTGTGGTCAGACGAGTCACGATTCAGTTATTTTTGGAAATGTGGGACGCCATGTCATCCGGACCAAAGAGGACAAGGACAACCCAAGTTGTTTTCAACGCTCAGTTGAGAAGCCTGCATGTCTGATGGTATGTGGTTGCATGAGTGCATGTGGCATGGGCAGCTTGCATGTCTGGAAAGGCACCAACAATGCAGAAAAATATATTCAGGTTCTAGAACAACATATGCTCTCATCCAGACGTCATCTCTTTCAGGGAAGACCCTGTATTTTTCAACAAGATATGCCAGACCACATTCTGCATCAATCACAACATATTGGCTGCGTAGGAGAAGGATCCGGGTACTGAAACGGCCAGTCTGCAGTCCAGATCTTTCACTTATAGAGAACATTTGGCGCATCATAAAGAGGAAGTTGTGACAAAGAAGGCCCAAGTCGATTGAACAGTTAGAGGCCTGTATTAGACAAGAATGGGAGAGCATTCCTATTTCTACACTTGAGAAACTGGTCTCCTCGGTCCCCAGACGTCTGTTGAGTGCTGGAAGGGGAGATGCGACATAGTGGTGAAAATGGCCTTGACCCAACTTTTTTGGGATTTGTTGACACCATGAACTTTTGAATCAAAATATTTTTCCCTTAAAATGATACATTTTCACAGTTTAAACTTTTGTTCCATGATTTATGCTCTATTCTGAAAAGAATAATAGAGGTTGACACCTCGACATCATTGCATTCTGTTTTTATTCAAGATTTGTATAGTGTCCCAACTGTTTTGGGATCCGGTTTGTACATATATATATATATATATATATATATATATATATATATATATATATATATATATATACATGTATATATATATATATATACATGTATATATATATATATATACATGTATATATATATATATATATATATACATGTATATATATATATATATATATATATATATATATATATATATATATATATATATATATATATATATATATATATATATATACATATATATATATATATATATATATATATATGTATATATATATATATATATATATATATATGTATATATATATATATACATGTATATATATATATATATATATATATATATATATATATATATGTATATATATATATATATATACATGTATATATATATATACATGTATATATATATATATATATATATATATATATATATACATATATATATATATATACATGTATATATATATGTATATATATATATATATATATATATATACATGTATATATATATATATATATATATACATGTGTATATATATATATATATATATATATATATATATATATATATATATATATATATACATATATATATATATATATATATATATATATATATACATATATATATATATACATGTATATACATATATATATATATATATATATATATATATATATATATATATATATATACATATATATATATATACATATATATATATATATATATATATATACATGTATATATATATATATATATATATATATATATATATATATATATATATATATATATATATATATATATATATACATATATATATATATATATATATATATATATATATATATATATATATATATATATATATACATATATATATATATACATGTATATATATATATACATATATATATATATATATATATATATATATATACATGTATATATATATATATATATATACATATATATATATATATATATATATATATATATATATATATATATATATATATATATATATATATATATATATATATATACATATATATATACATGTATATATATATATATATATGTATATATATATATATATATATATATATATGTATATATATATATATATACATGTATATATATATATATATATATATATATATATATATATACATGTATATATATATATACATGTATATATATATATATATATATATATATATATATATATGTATATATATATGTATATATATATATATATATATATATATATATATATATATATATATATATATATATATATATATATATATATATATATATATATATATATATATATATATATATGTATATATATATATATATATATATATATATATATATATATATATATACATGTATATATATATATATATATATATATATATATATATGTATATATATATATACATGTATATATATATATATATGTATATATATATATATATATATATATATATATATATATACACATGTATATATATATCCATCCGACCATTTTCTGAACCCGCTTTGTCCACGCAGGGCCGCGGAGGGGGTGGGGGTGGGGGTGGGGGTGGGGGGGGGTGGGGGGGGTGGCTGGTGCCTATCTCCAGCGGTCAACGGGCAATCAGGCGGGGTACACCCTGGACAGAGAGCCAGTCCATTGCAGGGCAACACAGAGACACACAGGACAAACAACCATGCACACACTCACATCTAAGGACAATTTAGACAGACCAATCAACCTAACAGTCATGTTTTTGGACTGTGGGAGGAAGCCGGAGTACCCGGAGAGAACCCACGCATGCACAGGGAGAACATGCAAACTCCATGCAGAAAGATACCAGGCCGGGAAGCAAACCCAGGACCTTCTTGCTACAAGGCAACAACTCTAACCACTGCGCCACTGCACAGCCGTATATATATATATATATATATATATATATATATATATATATATATATATATATATATATAATATTTAGTAACGTGATGAAGGAGCCATTTCTTCCCTCTAACAGCTGTTCCGTTTGACACAGTGCCAGAGTGCATGAAACAGCCCAAGGTCATGCATTCACACCTAATGTTTACATTCTAGCAGTGAAGACAGAAGAACGAAGAATGAACTCTTTTCCTTTAATTAACCAAAGAACTCTATTTTAGTAAAGCTAATCAAAACAACTGTTAGTCAATAATAACCATGTGACCGATCTGTGAAATCACAATGTTATGATTAATGTTTAATAAGGAAATGACGTATTGTAGCCACTAGACAGCTGATTCACAAGATAAATAGTCATGACACATTCCGGTAGCAAAATCCAATCAGAACCTTCACATCTGAAGCGTGGCAGAGTCTCTGTGGTGTTTGTTTAATCTGTCAGCTGTGATTCGTCCAGAAACGAAAACATCAAGATTAATAAGTCAGAACAACGCCATTTTGAGTTCAGTCTTCAGCCAGCTCTCAAAATCATTTGATGTTCCTCATTGCTAAGTGGAGTACGGACCGGCCATCTGTACGTTTTACTTTTAAGCTGAGAACTGCCAAGCTGGGAAAATCCCATCGTTGTTACCAACAAAACAACGGTTCCTTCATAATAAAAGCTGAACTCGCTGACCCAAAGGGGGGTCCCTTTGACGCTGTGAAACACCTGCCATTTTTACCTGGAGCCTACCCAAAGACTGGTTTGTCGTGCTGAGGACGCTGCTTCGTCGGCTCCAGTACCATTGGAAGGTTGAGGACCTGGCAGCCTGATCTACCACGGGAGTCTCCCTGACGGGTAATGTAGAACGACACAGATAGCGTCTCATGCCTTTTCTGACTAAGGTTCAAACGTCGATCAGTTAGGAGCAAAACAACATCTCCCACTCAGACTCGCTTCTCCAGAACGGGGGGTTCTGAACTGACATCGCACCAACACACACTCCACATCATTCCATTCCATTCGCATCCATCACTAGAGAGTTAGTCCTGTTAATTGTTTAAAATAATTTAGATAATAAATTTTTCTTAAACGTTCCGAGGTCTCTATTCTCTTGTCTCTCATTTCATGCAAAGTGTATTTTAAATTTCCCTGTAATAAAAAGAACACTCTTCTGATTTTAAAAGCCCAGGTCCAGAGATGGGGTCCATGCCAGGTATGGACCATTAATATCGCTGGTCATTAATTAAATTGTAATACCCTTCATTTCCACTTATATATATATATATATATATATATATATATATATATATATATATATATATATATATATATAGTTCTCGGTCTAGCAAACAATGTGATATCTTAGTCAGTAGGACAATTATTCAGTGGGGGAGTCTGCCTTTTGTTGTCAAAAAAGACAAAGAATAATTATTCCAAATAAAGGGTTTAAGTAACTCTGTCTGCTCTCGTCTCAAAGAAAAGCCCAACTCTAGTTTGTCCAAAGTTGATGCCAAAGCCGTTTTAAATAACCACCGTTTCTGAGGCAACGCATGCTTGTAGTTTTTCTCTGTTGCAACTTTGGCACTAAGCCCACCCAACGTCTCTCTGCAAACATAGAGTACTGTGATTGGCTGGGCACAAAACTGTTCGGGCCAGAGGTAGACCTGCTGAAGCTACAATGGAGTGTGGCTGGGTTGACCTGCAGAGAAAACTTCTTTGCTACTACGTTGGTCTAGATTTCTAGGCTAGCAGAACTGTTGCTCATGACCATTTTAAACGAAAGTCTGTCATTGGAAGAAGACTTTTGCACAGCACTGTTATCATTATTATTTTTTTTAAAGATTCTGCTCTGTTTGGAAACCCAGAACAGAAACCACCAAGTGAAACTGATGTCACTTTTTGCACTTTCCTTCGGTGTCTCAGGTTAACGTTACACTGCGGCAGCTTTCATTTTGTTGGAGTTGAAACTGAGTTTTTATTTGCATGTGATTTATAAAGAGTATCTGCATCCATCTACAGTTAAGGAGAGGAGCAGAAATCACACTGATGCACTCCAACAATGTCTGCACATTATAAAGCTGTCAAACAGAATATACAGTATATATGCACATTTTGGCTTCATGGTTGGTATTAAACTAATATTCATAGGTTTTAAGCCTTGGGCCTGCTGCATTTCTACGGAGTGGTGAGAAAATTAACTGCTAAATTATGCAGTTATGTCAATAAAATTGGGATATGAAGTTTTTTATTTCACTACATCAGTTCATGAAATTATCAAGTGAAATCTTATGTTTAAACATAAATTTAAATAATGACAATAAAACAGAAGTAGCCTAAAAACATAAAACTGGTGTAAAGAGATCAGCTGTCTACGGTTGAAACTGGAAAAGTTAGAATGTGGTGCAAAAGTTTATTTATGTCAGTAATTCTACTTAAAGGTGAAACTAATCTATGAGACAGACTCTTAACATATAAAAGCAGATATTTCAGCCTTTATTTGTTATAACTGATGTTATAACAGCTTAAGAAAGCCCCACCTTCAAACCCCCAGACAATCAGAATATTGTGAAAAGGTTCAATATTCTAGTCTCAAAGTGTCACACTCTTATCAGCTGCTGAATCCAGAATACCTGCAGAGGGTTCCCGAGCCTTTAGATGGTCTCTCAGTTTAAACTGGATTACTGACATAAACTGACTTTTGCACCATATTCACCTGTTTTACACTTGAAATCTATACGTTAGTGAAATATTTAGTTTTCAAATGCCACCATTGTTGTTGGAATGTAATGTTTAAATGTAACTTTTTTTAGAGTTGAATCTAAATATTTTTAAATATTAACGTTAATCTGGTCAAATATGGATGTTATATTTTTGATTTTTCAACCACTACATCTTGTGCTCCTGCATGTGTGGGTCTGGAAACCCTTTAAGGGCAACTTTGAGCTTCTGGGCTTCTCTGCAGGTGCAACACAGTGAGCGCCAGACCTCCTGAAGTCTGTTGCAGGATGTACTCTTAGTAAGAAAGGTACAGTTTTCACACCCCCTCCCTAGATGGACTCACGTGGTTTCTTTGTGGTGCTGTTGATGGGGGCTGACTGCGGTCCGGGACCAGCGGTGTTAAAGGCAGCAACAGAAAGGTAGTATGCTGTGTCCGCTTTCAGCCCTGTGATGTTAACTTGTGTGTAGTTTCCAGTTATTCTCACTTTGCCAATAGTGTCAGGCTTGGTGCCATCTTCCCAGTACACAACCTAAAAGAGAGGGGACAAAGGTTCCAATTTCAAGTTATGAAGGTATTATGAAAGCAGAGCTTTTGGACAGAGTCAGAATTCATAAGACACCATAAAAGCGTCTTGTAACGTGTTTTATAGACAGAGTTTAATCTTCTGATAAAAGTAAACAAAGCCCATGTTGATTTAGACTTTTAAAGACTCTGGATATTGAACGTATGGAAGTTAAAGTCAGTTTGTCACTGGGCTGTGAACAATAGCAACAGATATGATCAGCTTTTGCAAGAGAGATTTCCCAAATGTATCAAATTGTTCCCAAGGTTTCAATTTCCTCATGACTTGCAGCACCGTGCTCTAGTGTTTCAGAAATTTGAACGTTAAAGAAGTTTGCAAGGATTCAAAGTGGGGCTATAGAACCCTTCTGGAATTCTTCACCATTTAGTCCTTGAAATTGATTTGTTGGTTTACTGGTAACCAGTGTAGCGATTTTAGAACAGGAGTGATGTGCTCGGTTCTCTTGGTTCTTGTTAAGACTCTAGCAGCAGCATTCTGAATAAGCTGCAGTTGCTTCACAGATTTTTTGAGAAGACCATCAGAAGACCATTGCAATAGTCCAGCCTGCTGGAGATGAATGGATGAATGCTAAGTGCCCGCCCTGTGTTTGGAGGTTTGCAGGTTCAAACCCGAAGTCTGAAAATGTGAGAGAACCTTTGGAGGGGGGTAACAACGTCTGAGACTGGTCGGAGGCATGACAGAGAATCTGATATTATGGGTGCAACAACAGAACGTACATACAAAAGTAGAATGCAAAGAAATTTAGACTTCATTAAAACACTTTGTGACCAAGTTGCAACAACAACGTTTGCATAACTTTTACATAAACCTATAAATGCAATTTATTAGTGATATCACCAAGTCATGTAAATGGTACATGGCTTGTATCTTTAAAGCACTTTCTAGAGTCCTAAAACCCCCCAAGGAACTTAATAGTCTCCCAGTCCCTCATCTGACACTTTCACACGACGGTGATGAGCCATAATGTAGCCATGGTTGTCCTGAGGCTCACTTGTAAAGGTGGTGGCTTCGACCCCCACCAGCATCAAAGGAGGGTGATGTGTCTTGCACAATGACTGACAGATTGAGCAGGGTTTGAACCTGCAACCCTCCAGACACAGGTCAGGCTCTTAGTTTCTCTGCCATCGTTGAAAATTCAATGTGATTTCAACTGAAAACGGAGTTCAAACTTTGTCTCATATTTACCAGTGGTCTCAATGCAGAGACACGTTAGAATAGGGATCATTTTCAAAAATAAAACTACCTGAAGTAACCAAAGGCTGATTCAGTTCGATGAGAACGTGTTTGGTTCAGCACACATGTTTAAAATATTTCCTCACACTTTCAGTTTCATGTCCTTGACTCTGTTTTGTGGGATAAATTTATGAGTCAGTCTTAAAAAGTGCGGGTTTGGATTTTGTTTGACCTGATCTCCCTTTAGGAAGTGGTCAACTGGCTCCTATATCCCCTTCAAGCAGCTCCACGATGGTTTCCCCATGACCCACTTAGCCTCTCTGTGTCTGCACGTCCATTCCTGCCAGCTGTTCATCGTTTTGCTTTCAGTTCCTGCTGAACACATTTTTCTCAAAACATTAAAAACATCTTTATGCTAAAACAAAAATGTTTATGCCATTATATCAAAAGGTTTTTGAACAAGCTGATGTTAAATTCCTGACCATTTCTTTTTCCCACCCAATATTTTGCTTCAAGCAATCTGCTGAGTACTTATGGGTGTAGGTGGTGTAGTAATTAATAAAGTGAAAAGGCATATTTATTGATTTTCTTTGGGGATTTCCATATTTACACATATTTTATTGGGAAAGACAAATGTTGATAAATAAACTGTTGTTCCTTAAGATTTTCCTGCTTTTTATTTAGCAAAATAAAAAAAAATCACCTTGTAATTAGCTGAAGAGCAGAAAATTCAGTTCATATTATCCTTTTATCTGATTTAGAGTTTGATAGGATTTCCAGCCTGATCTCATTTAAGCGTCACACCTATGCTGCACACAGCTCAGCTTCTATACTGCTGCTGGCCTATTGAGATTCAGCAGCATTAATCCACTTTGGGACTGCAATTGGAGAATTGAGCTCCGTTCTGAAAGGACAATGAGGCCAGCGCTATGGCAACTGGAGATCGTTGTGCCAAGGGCCAGAGGTGGCAGATATTTTAAGAGCACTGTGGAGACTACAATCAGCAGAATCCCTGTTTTGCATTGCTGAAAAGATGAGGAATTTAATTATTTGGGATTTACTGCTGAAGAGTGGAAGAACCGAGGTCGCGTTGTAAAACGATTAAAGTCTAAAACAAAACTTCTGCAAGATTGCACGAGGAGATCCAAAAGAAGTATACGAATAAGAGACTGAGGAAGACAAAAACACTAAATAAGGGGTTGGAGCTAACAACATGTTAGAGAAATGGTTGTTTATCACGTTATGTAGGAAAATGAGAACAATTGCACAACGACTCATACCTCATATCCTAGAACTCTTTCCGGAAGGCCAGGGAGAGCTTCCCAGATCACTTCAATTTGTGATGCAGACAAACTTCGAGCCCCAACCCTCTTAGGAGCCACACTGGGGACTGCAGACGTACAACAGAAATGTGGTGAGATTCCCATAGACTCTCACACCACCATCACAAACACTAATAGCAATGAGAGAAAAGGTGTAGAACAGACCTGTAGTTTCACTGAGAACCTATTTCCCCTGCTCTCTCTTAACGGGATCTGTGACTGACATAACGGAAGACTATCTGCTCAGCAAATTCAATTAATAGGATACCTCCCTGACAGCGCGGCGTGGTAAGTGTCTGCAAGGATTTCCTGTAATCTACCAGCAAGATAACTAATATCAAGCTGACATTCACTGCTTTGAGAGGGCGGAAATGATAGCACGGGAGGGGTGGGGTGGGAATCATCATTACAATTCAAGGTCACAGTTGTAAGGAGGAAGATTATTGCTTGTTTGAGCATCGCTTTCTGTAAAGTCTGTTCTGTACCTTCTTCTGCAGAGAACACGGTGGCAATGGAGCTGAACGGGCCCTCCCCCCGTTTGTTGTAGGCTCCAACTTTGATGTCAAAAGGCGAAAAGGGTTGGATGGTGTCGTTGCGGAAGACGTAACGGGATGCGCCTGGCGTGGAGATAATGGCTCGTGTCCATGTGACTGTGCCCACAGGCCTGAGAGCGACGATGTAGCCAAAGTCCTCACCATTTTGGAGTTCCTCAGGCAAAGGCTGGGAGTGAAACACAAAACTATAGTGATATTAAAACGCTTACAGACAAAGAAACAGACAGGCCTTTCTCTGCACTGCACAGTGATTGGGCTCTTTGTGAGCAGACAAAGCCCCTTTCTCCACTGTTTCACATCACAACTCTCCACAGTTACCTTCACCTTATCTTTTCTTCTTGCATGGTTTTGTAATTGTAGCTAAAGTGCAAAACCCTCCAAAGAAAGTGCTCTCTGTCGCTGCTTTTGGAGGGATAAAATGGCCCTTGGTAGCTGAGCCAGATGAGGGGTGTCTCCCTCTAATGTGGGTCATAAAATTGCTCCACTCAATTCTGCACAATTAAGCAAAACCATTACTCGGCGATCGAGAGAACTGTAAAATGTGACAGATGACTTACCTCCCATGTTATCACTAATTCAGACTTTGCGCCTCCTCCACCTCCAACATCAGTGGGAGCTGTATCAGGAACTGAGAGGTAAAACCCAAAGGGGAAGCAATTAGAGCACAGTTTACTAAGCTCAACGCTAAGCCTCAAATGCACTTAGAGTCTTATGTCAGGGCTGCCAGCTACAGAAACTATTCTAGGCCACAAATATCCCACTCTCCACAAACACACATTTCACTGAATTCTGAATTACTGACATTGCCCAAATGTCACAGTGCAAACCAAGCAAGCCAAGATTCATAATATTTTGCAGATGACATTTGACTCAACCCACTCAGTTTCTATTCCCATTTGGCTGTTTGTGTACTGTAGCATGCAGGCAAAAATGAGCACTCATCCACATCCTCATGGTGTCTGTCAGAAGGTGGGGCTCTGCTTCATGATCTAATGACCAGGCCAGTTTTGTTACTAAGGGTTAATGACACTTTGTCACATTTTATTAATTTTTTTAACATTTGCCTCTTTGTCAAGATTTTCTCCTTTCCTGTTTCCAATACACTTCCCCAAGTTCCACAAATATCCTGAAGTCAAAACGGCAAAAGTATTAATATTAAGTAAATCCAACTTAATTATTTAAAAAATGCTTTACTCAGCAACATTATAGACACATTAGCGTGTCACTCAAATGAACATTTATGAGCATGTTTGTTTGTCTTCTACTCTGTGTATTCATGCATTATGTAACATCCTATAAAAGCAACAGATTCTGTTTTCTGTGCTTGAAAGCAGATATTTGACTGTCTGAAATAACCACCAACTCAATCTCAGTATAAATGCAAGCCTGTCATTTTCTTTTCAGCCTGCCAGGTTTAAAACACATGTATTTAGATCTGTTTTGGAATAAAAAGTCACAATCCCGACTCCAGCACCCAATCTGGATTTGAATCTGTTTCATTTTATATTGATATAAACAGCTGGTATTCCCATTAGCAGAAAATGAGTCAAATATAGGTTAGAGCCATAATTAAAACGTTTTCACTGATTAGTATCAGATCGCTAGGATGACACTTAGATCACAATCTCTATGGGTTTACACCAGCCATGCAGAGAACCCTAATGCTAATGTAGTGGAAGAACTGCTTTTACCAGGGGCTGGAGGTGAGCTAGCAACCAATGAAAATGCTTTGAGATCCATATCTACAATTTTATTGTTTGTTTCACTTCCATTATGCCTAAATTAGGATAAAATATGTCAAGGTCGTGGTCGTCTTCCTCCGCTTATCCGGTTCCGGGTCGTGGGGGCAGCATCCCAACTAGGGAGCTCCAGACCGTCCTCTCCCCGGCCACCTCCACCAGCTCCTCCGGCAGGACCCCAAGGCGTTCCCAGACCAGATTGGAGATGTAAACTCTCCAACGTGTCCTGGGTCGACTCGGGGGCCTCCTGCCGGCAGGACATGCCTGAAACACCTCCCCAGGGAGGCGTCCAGGAGGCATCCTGACCAGATGCCCAAACCACCTCAACTGACTCCTTTCGATCCGGAGGAGCAGCGGATCTACTCCAAGTCCCTCCCGAATGTCCGAGCTCCTCGCCCTATCTCTAAGGCTGAGCCCGGCCACCCTACGGGGGAAACTCATTTTGGCCGCTTGTATCCGCGATCTCGTTCTTTCGGTCATTACCCAAAGCTCATGACCATAGGTGAGGATTGGGACGTAGATCGACCGGTAAATCGAGAGCCTGGCTTCACCTGTCTTCACCACAACAGATCGCCTCAGCGCCCGCATCACTGCAGACTCCAAACCAATCCTTCTGTCGATCTCCCGATCCCTCCTACCCTCACTCGTGAACAAGACGCCGAGATACTTAAATTCCTCCAATTTAGGTAGGACCTCTCCCCCGACCCGGAGTTGGCAAGCCACCCTTTTCCGGCCGAGAACCATGGTCTCAGATTTGGAGGTGCTGATCCTCATCCCAGCCGCTTCACACTCGGCTGCGAACCTACCCAGCAAGAGCCGAAGGTCAGAGCTGGATGAAGCTAGGAGGACCACATCATCTGCAAAAAGCAGAGACGAGATTCTCCTGCCACGAAACTCGACACACTCCACACCACAGCTGCACCTAGAAATTCTGTCCACAAAGGTAATGAACAGAATCGGTGACAAAGGGCAGCCCTGGCGGAGTCCAACCCTCACCGGGAACAGGTCCAACTTACTACCAGCTATGCGGACCAAACTCACGCTCCTCTGGTAAAGGGACTGAATGGCCCTAAACAGAAAGCTACCCACCCCATACTGCTGGAGCGTCCCCCATAGGGTGCCCCTGGGGACACGGTCATAAGTCTTCTCCAAATCCACAAAACACATGTGGATTGGTTGGGCAAACTCTCATGCCCCCTCCATCACCCTTGCAAGGGTATAGAGCTGGTCCACAGTTCCACGGCCAGGACGAAAACCACATTGGTCCTCCTCAATCTGAGATTCAACTATCGATCCCTCCTCTCCAGTACCTTGGAGTAGACCTTTCCAGGGAGGTTGAGTGTGATCCCCCTATAGTTGGAGCACACCCTCAGGTCACCCTTCTTAAAGATGGGGACCACCACCCCGGTCTGCCACTCCACAGGAACTGCCCCAGATGACCACGCAATGTTGAAGAGATGTATCAACCAAGACAGCCCTACAACATCCATAGCCTTGAGATACCCAGGACAAATCTCATCCGCCCCCGGGGCTCCACTGCTGTGTAGTTGTTTGACTACCTCAGCAACTTCTGCCTCCGAGACTGGACAGTCCATCCCCAGGTCTCCCGGCTCTGGTTCCTCCTCGGAATGTGCATAGGTGGGATTGAGGAGCTCTTCAAAGTACTCCTTCCACCGCCCGACTATAGCCCCAGTTGATGTCAGCAGCTCCCCATCCCCACTGTAAACAGTGTGAGCGAGTTGCTGCCTCCCTCTCCTGAGGTGCCGGACAGTTTGCCAGAACCTCTTTGGAGCCAATCGATAGTCTTTCTCCATGGCCTCACCAAACTCCTCCCACGCCCATGATTTTGCCTCGGCAACTGCCACTGCTCCACCCCGCTTGGCTATCCGGTACCTGTCTGCTGCCTCCGGAGAACCACAAATATGTCAAGGTGAACAAGTCAAATCAGCAGTAATAATCAACTAATTGTCTTTTGTTTTTTTGCAAGGTTTGTGTTTTAAACACTATTAATATAGTTAAAGAGCAAGTCACCCCCAGGTCAATTCGCAATCGTGTTTCACTAGTGAATTCATGAACACGATCTGGAATGCTGCTGACAAACACTTCTCTAAAGCTGCTTCCACATTTGAATGCTCCAGTTTGGTCCGGATGGCAGAGTTCCAGGTTAGTTCATAAACACTTCTCAAATACGTGTAATCTCTGAGCATGTGGGCAGGGCAAAAGTCTGCAGTGTCTCCCTTAAATTAAACAAAGGAGGCCATGAGCAGTGTTGCTTTTGGAGACTCTGACTCTGATATTGCATCCTGTTCTGCTGTGTCTGTCCTGGCGCAGCTCAAGTCTGGCAGTGCTCTGTGTGTGTGTGTGTGTGTGTGTGTGTGTGTGTGTGTGTGTGTGTGTGTGTGTGTGTGTGTGTGTGTGTGTGTGTGTGTGTGTGTGTGTGTGTGTCTGTCTGTCTGTCTGTCTGTGTGTGCTCCTCAGAGAGAGACAGACAAGAAGACATGACATCAGTCAGACGCTTGTTTAATCCACAGCATCCAGAATGATAATGAATTGGGCATTTGAGAAGCCCCCACTGGCTGATTCCATCTGTCAATTGGAGACTTCCCCTAATGGTATAGGTGTGAATTTGAGTCGGCCAATCAGTCGGCATATGGTGTCTTAGGCCAGTTCAGCCTGAAGTAGATCACTTTAGGAAGAGGGCTGAAAAAACAGCTGGTTGCGCACAGAAAAAAATCCAGTCTATGTAGATGTGAACATTTTCTACCATATCTAAGCAGAGTGGAGCCAGCGCTAGTGTGAAATACACACACACACACACACACACACACACACACACACACACACACACACACACACACACACACACACACACACACACACACACACACACACACACACACACACACACACACACACACACACGTGAACTGAACAGCATTCAGTAGTTCACTAATACCGATCAAAGCCAGCAAAGGTTGTTGTTTAAAATGGAGTTGATTAAACAGATAGACATTTGTTACGAGCAATAATGAAACAAACTCTGTGATGCGTGTAGACAAAATGTCTCCCTGCACTGTGATCCTCAACAGAAACACACAAAAACATAATTCACCTTATTGTACATATCCAGGTACTAACCGATAGTTTGGTTTAGGTGACTTGAACTGACAGTGAACAATTAGTGAGAGTTAGTGTTAGCTCAGTTTGCTGCGAACTGTCAGTCTACAGTTTGGGGTGAAGGTTATCATCAAATCCTGCTGTTGGCTGTTCTGGTGTGATTCAGGATAACCTACACCTTTTGCTTCACTGTGAGAGTGAAAACAATTTGTCAAATTGTCAAAAAAGTAGTGCTTGTGTTTTTTTTTAAGTCTCATAATGTAAAAATAACAGCTTACAGTGAAAAGGATAAGAAATGACATATGTCAATGCAGTCAGAATGACAAACCATGGACAGTAAGTGCCGCATACATAGGTATATGTGTGTTATTATTTTTACACACCAGCATCCTCTGTTCTGGTTTTGGCTGATGCTGGGCTTGGCTCTCCGAGGCCGACAGCGTTGCGTGCCACGACTCTGAACTCGTACTCCACCCAGGCATTCAGGCTCACCACCGTGGCAGTCAGCATGTTACCACTGATCACCTCCGGCACTGCAAAGTAGAAATTAAACAAGAAATAATCTGCATCTTACACAGAAATATAAAATGATTTAAAAAAAAAAGTCTTGAAAAGTTCATTTTAAAACCCTGTAGGACTGTTTTGGGATACCTGTGTCAACAGCCTGCCAGCCCACAGTAAAAGGTGTTCGAGCCTGGATGATGTAACTGGTAATGGGGCTTCCGTTGTCACTTCCAGGAGTCCACGATAGCTGTGCTGTGCTGTCTGTGATTTCCTCAACTGCTACCTTGTCTGGCGGGCCTGGTGGACCTGAGTCAAGCAGACAGGGAAGAGGATGAACTCAAGGTGATCGTCCTTTCTCATCAAACTCCTGTAACGTCCAGCAATGGCCAGTTTTCACCTAAAAACTGACCTACATGCCACCGGTCACCGTCAGAGATAAATTCCATTCTTTAAGGTGGATTTTACATTCTACCTTCCAACAAACAACAAAGTTCTGCAAACCTTGTTGACATTTCAGGAGGAATACGATGTCAGCCTGTGTTCCCAAACAAAGCCTTCTTCTGATAACACCGCAGGATTCCTCATGCCTCTGAATTAAGTGACTATTTTCAGCTCATATGAGTTAATCAACCGTGAAATGGAATGAACAAATGTTATATGAAACGATCAATAATATTTTGATTAATCTGTGCTTAAATGACTGTGGTTGAAATGAAACATTTTGATATTATGATCAGTAATTTTAGATTGAATACGTGAATCAGGATCTACACTCAGACACAAGGTTCATTAGAGATAAATTAAACTTAAGTTAAATGTCATGACACATAGATATTTTCTTAGCCACAAATCAGAACATCCTGTATGTGAAAGAAGGCGTGACGTTCTGAGGTCCCAGTTGGCCAAGAAATCATAATATGAGAATATTAAAACAGAACTCACTAGATGGTGAGTTAATTCTAGAGAAAGCTACGGACAGGCCATCTGGAGCGAACCCTCTTTAACCCAAAGCTTTCGACAAGCTAAAAGCTGCCTACAGCTGACACAGCAAAACGGTTCCTTCAGCTATTCAGAAACAACTGTTCTAGACGCAAATGATTTCATCTATCTGTTGTGATCCGGGAGACGACTCTGTGCCAACCTGGTCGTACTGCGGTCTTTTCTACAACTTCGGTACCTTGGGGTCACCCCCCCCCCCCCACCCACCCCCCCACCCCCCCACCCCCCGACATCTTGGATCCAAAAGGGAGTCTCCTCAGGGGTACGTAGAACACAGCATGATTGCGTCTGATGCCGTTTTGATAAGAACCAACTTCATAGTTTAATACAAACCAAATTCTTTGAACACCCAGAACTCAGTTCTTCTAGATACAACATTCTGATAAACACACACCATTCAATCACCATACATAACATCACATCCACTTATATTCATCCATCACATTCGTCCTATTTAACTTGTCTTGTTTTTAATTTGTTTAGAAAATAAATTTCTTATCTTTTATAAACCTGACTCTGTCTGAATTTAGACAAAGTGTGTTTGATCCCTGAAAAAGCAAAGAATCCTATCATCTTCTGATTAAACATCTAAAGACCAAGCAGGTTTATATTCTACATTTATATAGAATATCACAGCTTATTGGTCATAAGTAAAGGTAATATATTAAGCTTAAAAGCACAACATTTACTACTCCTACACTCCTAATGACTTCAGCATCCTGCCATGTGTTTCGTCGTGGATAATTTCATTACCAACAGTGTGTGCTCACGCTGTGTGTGATGTGCTGGACAAGCAGTTGTGTGAGAGTAGGGTCATCGGCAGCAAACACATTAGATTTGAACTCCACTGGGAATAAAGGTCTTGCTTGAACACAAATTCATATTTTCTATGGTGCTGTTATTTAAATATGTTAAAGGATATTTCTCAATCAGTAGATTGGCCAATTGCAGTAATTTCCTGTGTCTTCTCAACACACCTGGAACTGTGGAGGTTATTTCAGGACCCACCAACTAACTAGCAAATTCATCAAAAATGAGCGTATGCACAACACCTGATGCACCAGACACACAGACCAAGGTTACACCAGTGAAACTGTACCTGCATTGTCATGTAATTTTTACATATCAGTGGAATTTGTTGCTTTTGTATGATATACATTGACACAGACATAACACACACTGAGATAGAGTCCGTTTTTGCTCTCCCACACTGGCTTCTAAAGGCCTTTGGGATTTTTCACACATATCTCTCAAACATCTTTCACTTCCAGCCTTTCTACCTCCACGAGTAAATATACAAGGTTATTCATACAGCGGCATGCAAAAACAGGCAGCTGAAATCAGCCTGTTACCTTTGACAACCAGGATTGCAGAGGTGGACAGGCTCTCCACGTCCGTGTCGATAACGCAGACGTACTTCCCACCATGGTTCAGCTGGATGTTGCGAATCATCAGATCCCCTGATATAGTCTGGAGGAGACGGATAAATAAGGCTAAGTGAGCGATGCGCTGTTATTTCATCAGTGGATCTTTTTGGCAGCAGATTGTTTAAGCATTAGAAATGTTTTCTGCCAGTTCCTTGGGCTGTAGACTTTTACCATCTCTCCAAACAACAACAAGGCAGATGCATTCCGCACAAATAAACCTATTGGCTGTCCTTCCGGCGATGCCCAAACAACTAGCCTCCAAGCAGCTACCAGCTACACACACAGGACACACAAAACAAACATACTCTGGCTAATTGGCACAGAAACCCTTATTATTTTTTAATTACATGAAGTCAAGCATGGTTTGTGTGGTAAACCCAGAGAACAGAACACATATCATACAAGAGCTGTCACGATGACAACAAATATTACTAATTTACTTCCTTTTCCTCTTAATAGGCTAAATACATATGTTACTGAAAATGTGCATACATAATTACAAGTACAAGTAGTATTTGTCTTTTTTCTTAAAGATCAAGTCTTTTAAAATCAGTTGTAAGACCTAAAACAAAATGAATGTTCTTCTGTAAGGACTAATGTCAGCCCTGTATAAATTTGACATGAATGGACTCAATAGAGCCGGTGGTCATTGTCCTGAGAGACAATGTCACCACTGACACAGTCAAAGGAAATGTTGTTTGTATGGCTTTCGGACAGCTCATATATATATATATATATATATATATATATATATATATATATATATATATATATATATATATATATATATATATATATATATATATATATATATATATATATATATATATATATATATATTTGTTTCAGGGCAAAAATATAATATTTCTTACATCTTCACTATCATGTACCATCGACAGGCTACCCTTGTGTCTGTAATCCAAAACAACTCACATAAATAAAATCTCAGAGCAGGAAAGATTGCGACACAGGCACTCATCACATAATGACACTGTGCAGTTTCTAGGCATGTCTGTGTCACTCTGACCCACAGGGCCTGAAATAATGTTAGACCCAGTTTGCACTGCGTCACAGGCATTGCATAAACCAAAGTTATTCAAGTTAAAGGTCAAAACCCTGAAAAGAGATCAACTTATATTCAGAAATATATATAAATCTTCAAAATGCATATGAGCTCATTCTCACACAAACACTCAACACCTTTGGCCTGTTAACGCCTGAATGTTCTTTGAATAACACCAGAAACCACATGAAATTGTTGCTCAGTGTCGGTCAAGTCAACAGCATTATAGCCAGTTTTGTGTTTGAGGTCAGCCATAGACCCACCTCCTTTACGAATCTATGTTTTGTGAAGCTATCCTGTAACTGCGTCCTTCCATCTTATGCTATAGGATGAATACACAAGGTGGCTATCTATATGGGTGGCTACAAATGTTAGCCGTGGAACTGTGGAACGAACTTCCAGTCACAGTTCGACTGGCATCCACCTTGGCAGATTTTAAGTCTAGACTAAAGACACACTATTTTACATTAGCTGTTAGTTTGGCTTTTACTACTCTTATTTTATCGTCCATTGTAAGGTTTCATTGGTTTTATTGGTACTTTTTTTTTGTCGGCTTGTCTTTTTTTATTGTTTGCTGTAATTTATAGTACTGTTTTATGATTTTTTATCTAAATTATTGTGCAACTGTTCTGCACCTTGGTCAGCCGTATGGCTGTGTTTTTAAAGTGCTATATAAATAAAGGTGGTATGGTGGTATGATATGGTATGGTTAGTGTTTCAAACACATTTGTTAACTTATTTGTTAAATATGTTGGTCAATAGGAGTACATTTTGGTGTTGATTCTTAGATACCCTCACGTGACATCTTAGCTCAGTATCTATGGTATATAGTTAATTACTGTATTCACTAAGTTTGATTAGCTGTGGCTAACATCTTAAATGTGGTTGGCTTTTAAATGTACTTGATTTGTTGGAGTTTTATTTAAAGATTGACTCCAGCAGCTACTGAAAACCTTTTTTTAAAGAATGTTTAATGCTGAGAGTGTGTTTTGGGGATGACTTTCAGCTACAACACAACGTTTTTGCCCAGTTTCAGTAAAAATGTAAGAGTTATTGATATTTCTGTGTTTTCAAAAGTCAATTGGCCAAAGTGTTTGTCATCTGGAATCAGGTTCAAAAGTTCATGAATAGTAAATGTAAAATCAATACTTTATCTCAGTAGCCTAGTAGTAGAGTGTCCACCCCGGGACTGGGAGATCAGGGTTCAAACCTTGCTCGATTCATACCAAAGACTTTAAAAATGGTGCCCAATGCCTTCCTGCTCAACATTAAGAGGTTGGATTGGGGGGATTAAACCACCAAATAGTTCCTGAGCGCAGCCATTGCTGCAGGTCACCGCTCCTTATGGGGAGATGTAATTTCACCACTGTGTGGTGACTAATGAGACCTTGACTTTAAAAGCCAAACAAACAGGTTCAGTGGTTGGTAAACGTGTTTAGTAACAAGTATGGGTTCACAGGACAACATGATCACCACTAATGTTTTAGCAACAGTTTGTTTTTAATGCAGGATGAGCTGATGAGATTCAACACCAAACTAAAAGAGTAAAAATCCAAGCAGCATGTATGTGTGTTTCAAGGTAAATTAAAGTTCTTGACAATCTGATCCAAACAGAATCGGTGCACACAATTTCACTGTGGTCTTAATTTGTCTGCTGATGGTATGCACCCTCTCAAAGTCACCACTTGAAGTGGGCTGGCACAAAGCATGCTGCATTAGAAACTAGTTACAAAGGGTCAAGCCGGATAAGGCTCTCTGCAGTCACAGCAGATTTCATCACCCCAGTGGTTAGTCATCATAGCGCCACTCTGCAGCCACAGGGGCAGAAAAATGCTTTTGGGTTCGCTGTTTTCTAAGACACACCTGACAAAGGAGAGCAGAGCCAAAGGTGGCCATGGAAGAAAAGAAAACTACCTCTACCCCTCTTTTCTCTCTCCCCTTTCTTTCATCTCTTTCCGTACACTTGACAGTTTTTCATGCACCACGTCTGATTTGCTTTCCAGTGTCAGCCGCCACCTGGGCAACCTGAGAGCTTGCAGCGAGTTGCGCGGCCTGCTGTCTTGGCAGGAAGGAAGTGATGAGGCAGGTTTGCTTTAATTATGTTAATTCATTCATCAGAAGCTTTTGAGCGGGTGCTGGTAATCTCTTTGGACGGGGTGGGGGGCTGGGTGTTCTGTGAAAACGATATCTCATTAAATGCCATTGCACTGTTCAATGTCACCGGTAATTGCCATTTGCATTAATGAAGATGTGAGTTTGGCATGTCCACATCACTGTGAGGGTATTCCAACACGATATCAACCTTTAACACATGACTGGCACTAATCAGGCTGTGAGTGTTGAATGATATGGCAGCGCATGAAGCAAAAATAGTCAGAGTAATTATTTTACTCTGACACACTCTGAACAATTAACTTCGTCCTTCATCAAAGGGAACAAGCATCCAACAAAGAGTCATTATTTCAAGGTATGAAGATTTCAAATAAACATTTACTGGGTGTCAGGCGTGCCCTTGGTGAAAGCTCATTACTTAATTATTTCAGGGCTCAGGACTCAAAAGTATGTATGCAAATTAAATTATGGAAAAGAGGAATGATAAAAGAAAAACTTCTCCCTTGATGTCCAAAAATTAAAAGTTCAACTGATAAAAAAGTAGGGTGTGTCCTAATCCACGGGAAGGATGCTTGTAAGAGTGCGATGACGTCACTGTCCAAATTCCAAGAATACTCATTCTCAAGTCCTCAAATGCGTCCTCGCTCCACCCACATTTCGAGGACGGGTCTGTTGTATCCTCACAGAACAAGGCCATCCCAGCATGCTTTGCGCGCTGGCTGTGGATTTTCAACAAGAAGAGAAAATGGGGAGAGCTACGAAGTTTTAACTGTAAGTTTGTTAAAAACTAGCCGTAGAAACCTTAAAAGCTTAAAGTGGTTCAGTTTATAGACATTTTTCGTTTGTATATTTGTTTTTAAATTACATTTTAGGCAGAAATCAGCCAGAACGAGTTTGTTTTGCGGGTCCCAGTTATTTCCGTGCGTGTGTGTGTGTAGCGAATTTAACTTTTCATTTGTTTTAAGGACAACGGAGCAAATAAGTGTTTTTATTAAGCTTAGAGGTGAAGAGTGAAGCTGTTTACACACACAACCACAGAAGTTCTTCTGTGAAAAGTAGTTTTACATTCAGGGATTTACAGCTGACACGTTTTAATGAAGTAAAAAGTGTTTGTGTGAAGAATAAAAGTTTTATCTTCTCATGTGGATAGATGTAAAATGTGTTTATTGCCTTTTTGTCACCTGTGGTTTCTGATTTTCTCTGTAGGACTGCAGGTGTCCAGGGTCAGGAGAGGCTTTACCTGTTGGTCATCCTGGGAGAAAGGCCTTCTACTGTCATCATGTTAATGTTATTTAGCTGTTTGATATTTGAACACATTTATTAAAACAAATACTAACTGATAACTCTTTCTGGTCATTGATTTTATCACCAGTTTTATTAGATGTTTTTGAACATGTTACATGTCCATGTCCAATCAGCAATTTTGTTTCATCTTAGATTTCTACAAAGTTGATTTCTGAAATTTGGTGGGTTGCAGCATTGGCAGCATTAAAAATGTCTTCAGAAATGTTTCTGTTATTCAGATTTTCTGTTCAGCTAACCACAATGGAAACTTTCAAATGGCCATCACTTGGCATAAATCTCTCAGTCTGGGTATTATTGGAGTCAAATAGATCCTTAGCTGGGCACTGAGGCATGGCCTTGCACACCACACAGAACGGGCCAATTAATCCTTTAACAGCCAGAAAGTATGTGAGTTTGGTTCCTTGAGAGGACTTACCCCGCCTACTCTTTCAAAGTGATCACTGTCTCGCTGGAAGTCGATGAGCTGGCCGTTGAATGCCCACGAGAAAGAAACGTCCAGAGCTGGATCGTAGGCAATCTGGCAGGGTAGCACGATGCTCTCGCCAACAATAATCTCCATGTTAGTGGGCCTCATGGTGATTCTGGTGGGCTCTGGCCAGACAACAGACGACAGTGCACACATGTTAATTTCTGCCACAGGCACCTTTAACATCCCTCTGACCCCCGCAGCTGCAATCTCACAGCCAAATCAATTAAATTTAGCATGAACGTGTGCTTAAACAAGCATTTTAATTCTGAGCATGTCCCACCGCAACATTTAATGACATCTTGGGTTTGGGCTTTGTGCTCCTGGATCCGTTTGGAAGAGAATGTTTTGAAACAGGAATGCAGAGATCAAAACACATTCCCAGTCATGACTGTTGTGGATCGGAGGCCTCAGAGTACACCAACGAAAGGTCACAGTAATTAAATTCTGTGACATTAATTGGTTCAGCTGTCAGCGTACGAAAAGAATAGCAGCTAATGAGAATAAGTTTGATGGTTATACACACAGCAGATTAAATCAGGGGTCTACATAAACGTGTTATGCAGAAGCACTCAAATGGTGACCTTTCACCACCTCAAGGGTAATGTTTGTAGCTGTTTAACTGCTGTTTTTATATAATGTGTAATATAAACTGTCTTTACTTGACAATAATTTTGTTGTAAATATTTTATAGCAGTATACATTTAAATAAAGAGAAAAATGCTCGAGCTAAAGACTGCCAAGAACTTTCTTCTGCAAGTATTGCAAAGAAACCAATTATTTGCCAATAAGCTGTTCTTTAATCATATCTTAACATGGAGCAAGACTTGGTCTGTGCAGGATGCAGTCTTTTCATCTGTTTTCATAGAACAGTGATAAGGATAACCAGCATATTACCTTCAGCAGCAACCCGATGTTACATCTCTACAAAAACAACATTATTATAGAACACTGAATAGAGGAATGGTGTAATTTACTCTTCATTGTTTACTCTGAGATTTCAAACCCCATGGATCAGCATGTTCTATGGCCATTGTTTCAGTGAGTGTTTGATCCTTCTGTTCTCATTACTATTGTGTAGTCAGATCAACTTGTGTAAACCTCAAGAAACCTCAGAAATGGCTGCAGTATCACAGTCCGAGACAAATGAAGATTGAACAGCTCAGAAAATCCTATCCAAACATGATCAATACACTGATATCTGCACAAGATTTCAAAAGACAAACCCACCAATCACAACCCACACAACATATACCTTTCTACATGTTTCTGCTGTAAGGGAATAACAGCTTCTATATCAGACAAGGGTTTATCAAATCTGGGGAACCTGTCTGCCATAGCTAAGAATACACAGCTTTTTATTCCCTTTGCTGCAGATAAGCAAAGGGTTTTTCAGTAGTTAATAGAAAACATTGAGGCCAAAGTTTTTAATTTTAGTTTATAAAATTGACTAGGCATACTTTCTACACTTCAGACGCCCCAGGTGAAAATTGGTTTTTGAGCGTTGCCTGAAAATAAACATATTACATGGATTTGCTATGAGTTTGTATTGTAATTTCATGTAACTGACCTAAAATGGTTTTTAAAAGTGTGGTTGACTGAAAAACATTTTTTTCAATAATTATTTCTAATTATAATCGGTCACTCTGGGTTTTTTTTTCTTTTTTTTTTTTGCAGGCTGAACATGAACAGTCTCCTACAGTCTCCTATCTTCTGTGTTAGCTTTTGATGGAAAAAAGATTGTAAAATGCTAGGATTTGAACATTTATACACTGTGATGTCACAATGTGAATTTGCACTCACGGCCATTTCCATCTTGGCTCACGCTTGCCCACAGGAAGGCTTTTTAAATCGAACCTGCAACCTTCCGATTACTGGACAGCCCGCTCAACTTGTTGAGCTATACTGCTGCCCCGATGTTTGGACATAGAAAATAGCGACCTCTCACTTCCTCTGTAGGGGAATAGGGGTTACCAGTTCTGATGGAAGTGGATTCAGGAAAGATGCCCGAGGGGAGCGGTGAGTCTTCTGTCAATGTGTTTGTGTTCAATACCTAACTTGTTTGCAGATTCACTAAACCAGCTTTAAAGCCCCACTCTGCAACTTCACACCTCCAGTAATGGTTTTTTAAAAGGTTTTGGCGGCATACTATCATCTATTATGTGAGCTGTGATAATGTTATGGGGTCCTATGTCTGTTAACCACACTATATAGTTTTTGACCTGCAGTCCACTGCTGGAAGTACTGACTGTGTATTGCTTTATGACAGTATCACTTAGACATGAATACTATCACCGCCATATTGGATGGGTCTCAATCTCTAAAGCAATGACTGTAGAAAAGTCCAAAGTTACTGCAGAGTGAGAAACTTCTGTCTGATTTTGTGAAAAAAGCTTAATAAATGTGTTTTTAGTTGGGTAGCTCCTTCCTTAGTAGAAATGAATGCACTGGGGTGAATGAAGACTAAAATGGTGGCCGGTCACTACGGCAACATCAGTCCATGGGGCGTCTACGTACATATATATGTCTGTGGTAGAACCACAGTTTAGAGACTTGAGCAATGGCAGATCCACCAATGAAATCTAGAAATCCTTTATCATAAGATTCTGGGAAAGGAATCTGACTGAGGTAAGTAATAAATAATTTCACCGGGGTTATTGTGTTTGGTCGTTGGTTTGGTGTGTAAAGTTGTTATACAGTCCTGATTAAACTTTACTCAATGCTGAAATGCCACTTAATGTGTTTGTGCACGCAAGTTTGAAAATAGCCAGTAAACATGCCTCTTATACATGACAGAGAGATTTGAATTGAATTGAAGCAGCAAGCCTTGGGAGGACGACAGAGAGCATATTTCTGCAACGTTCAGGAATGTGTCTTTAATTGGTCCTAAAGGACCTTTGTAGTTTTTATTGTCGACATTGGCTCTAGTACGATAAAAGTTTTTTTTTCTCTCTTATTGTTATTGAATGTTAAATGGTAAGTGGCCTAGATTGTACATTGCATCGTTTAGAGTCATAGACGCCCCCCCCCCCCCCCCCCCCCCCCAAGGTGCTTTGCATCACAGTCATTTTCTCATTCACACTCTGGGGATGTTGAGCTACACTAGCCACAGCTGCCCCGCAGCACCCGGCCTTGCTAAAATATTAAACCCAGAACCTTTTTCATTTTGGACAATCAAAAAATTTAATCTCATTCAAATAAAGGCAAATATGCAAAAGTTTAAATTTCAGGAAATATTTAGAACCTCAGTTTGCCAGTGTTTTAACTAACTAACTTTTCATTTGCCCGCCTGACAAATCATCTGCTTGTGTTTCTGTTAACTCAACACTATCAAACAACAATATGAGACTAATTCAAAGACAAACAATTGTTTTATTTTATTAGTACCTTAATGTTCCCATCCAAAGTTTTTATGTGTCTGACCTCACTCACTAGAGTACTAATGCTTAGATTTAAATTCATAATGCTGGGCCAGTCTTTTAACAGATAAACAAAAACATATTCATGATGGTGAGGTGTTTTAAGCAGATTAGCATTAAAATCTCATTTTCATTATCTCTGAACAAAGTGTTGTGTTCCTGCTCTTTGGGACCTGCTGCCCAGCATGTTTTGGATATTTTCCTGTTTCAACACACCTGGTTCAAATAAAAGGATCATTAACAGGCTTCTGTAAAATTTGATGACAGGCTAATGAGGTGATCCATTCATTTAAACGGGGTCTTTCAGAACAGCCAAATATCTAAAACATGCTGGGCAGTGCTTCTCGAGGGCCAGGACTGAAAAACGCTGCCTTACAATAAATAATTTACAGCCTATTCATAAAAACACACCCAGTCTCCCTGCTACACTCCTACCCTTGTTTATATTTTAACCCTCGCTGAGGCTGTGGTATTAGTTTCTGTTTGCTGGGATTGAGAGGATGTGGTGAATGGTATTTATTTGCTTGCCACAAAATGTCACAACACCCTGGAACTTTATTTCAATGCCAGTTCAACTTAAACTGCATCAGGCTTCTTTTTTGAGTGAGCAAGTAGTCCTAGAAAAAAACACATTTTTATTATCTCTGAACAATGAGTGCAAACCAGAATGGTTTGCTTGTTAGATGTAAATGGTAAATGGCCTGTATTTGATATAGCGCCTTCTAGAGTCCTGGAACCCCTCAAGGCGCTTTACAACACAATCAGTCATTCACCCATTCACACACACATTCACACACTGGTGGTGATGAGCTACAATGTAGCCACAGCTGCCCTGGGGCGCACTGACAGAGGTGAGGCTGCCGAGCACTGGCGCCACCGGTCCCTCCGACCACCACCAGCAGGCAACGTGGGTTAAGTGTAGGCTAATAATAGTGTGAGAGCTGCACATACACATAGGTTTAACACAACCCTTGTTGATTGTGCTTACCAGTGACAAGGAGTGTCCCAGTCGTGCTCGCTGTTCCAAACTGGTTCTTAGCGATGCACATGTAGCCACCTGCATCCCGTTTGGTTACGTTGGCAATCTTTAAAGTTCCATTTGGAGACAAAGTAATCCTGCAAAAGAAAAAGTGACACTTTTTACAATACTGGACTAGGGTGAATGTAGCTTTCTATTGAATGTGCTCATTTTAGAACATTAGTATGAGTAATCTTCACGTTTCCTATCGGGTTCCTTGATTTTTTGCCACGTGTGTAAACAGAAAACAACTTGAAGAGCTGTTTGACCCTTACTGAACTTCACAATTCTGCACGAAATCCCTAAGAATGGAACTCTTTCAACTGGGTTAGCAGCTTAACTCTGGAACCCATTACGGAATATAGCATACTTCACAAAGAGCATCACTGAAAAACTCAATGAATAAATAAATGTGCTTTAAAGGCTTTGTGTTGCTGAGGTCAGGGAGAAACCTCTGTCATGCTGGGAAATATTCTCCCTGTTTAGGTTTAAATATGCAAGCTAGCTTTTAGCAACATTGAACTACATGGGAACAATAAATATATGCAAATGATTAAATGGCTTAAGATAAGAAGTACATTCTATTATCTAAATTAATTATTTGCAGAATTCAACAATTCATCATTTTTGGTTTGTCTTTGTTTTGCTTATATATTTGGACGATACAGGAGAGAACTTATTAGGGTGCAAATTTTGAAGGACTGAATTCAACAGCTATGTGTTGTCACGTTTAATGTGTTATATGTGGTGTAGCGTCATGAATGTCCTATTTTTGACCTAAAGGTCATGATCTGCTGCGTCTGCTCGAGCAGAGACATAACGTCTCTGACAGCCAAATGTACATGAGATAGTGGCCAAGGTCTTTCATGCACTCTGCTCATCTGAACTGCTTCATCTTTGTTACCAAGCGAAGACAAAGAACTATTTTGATAAATACATAATCAACAACTTTGTTAACTACCAATAACAATGTGAGCCCAATGTTCAATCAATCTGTGAAATGACAATGTTATTACTTGATATTATAATCCTGTGATCAGTAGTATTTTACAAGTTATTATAATCTTGGTCATTTGCACTAGACACTAAAGACACGTAATGTTAAAGCCACACGACACATTTCCTTTTGTCTGATCCAATCAGAACCTTCGTTTCTGGTGCAGGGCGTGGTTTTCTGTGGTGTTTGTATAAACCCTCTTTTGCATGTCAACTTCTGATTCGCCAGTAAACCAAAATTTGACGATTATAAAAACTATTCCACGCCACCTTTTCTTTAGTTCAAGCATTCTAGAGAAGTCTCGGACAGACCATCCAGACTTCCTCTTCAGCCAAAAAGAACCTCGACAAGCTGGATACAATCTGTTGCACGTTACACCTGACTGCAACGGTTCCTTCAGAATAAAAGCTGAACCCCATGACCCCTTCAGGGTCTCAGAGATGCCAGTGATAACCTGTCGTGCTTTTCTACCGGCTTCGGTACCAAGGAGGGTCCTTGAGGACCTCGACATTCTGGATCTAATGGAGGCTTCCCCTGGGGTACGTAGACTGACAGACGAGGTTTCATGTGTGTTATAAGTCTCCTACTAAAGTTTAGAGCGAAACATTCACTCCCACTCAGAACTAACTGCTTCTCTGGATCCGCTGGTTCTGAATAACATTCCACACACACACCATCATCATTCATCACGTCTCACTCTTAGTTCCATCAGTACACAGCGTGTTAAAGTTAGTCTTGTTTAAATTGTGTAGAAATAAATTTCTTAACTATTTTAAACCTGACTCTCTCGCTTTCCTTGGAGTTAATACGAAGTGTCACTTAATCCCTGCAATAAAAAGTTCTGATCTTCTGGTTAAAATAGTCAAAGATCCATCAGATTGATATTTCATATTTCTATGGAATCTCACATTTTATGGTTCATAAGTAAGATTTAAACGACACATCCTTTACAGTGGGAACTGTTAAATCCTTTGTTTCATAATAGTTATTTCAAATATTTAAATTTATGTTGCCGTATTTTCCGGACTATAAGCCGCTACTTTTTCCCACGCTTTGAACTTTGAACACTTTGAACACGGCTTATGATGAGGTGCGGCTTTAGTCAACCAGAAATGATGGATGCTGGAAAGTCTAATGAAGGAATGGTTAAAGGAGCGCTACAGAAAGCGCCCAGGAGGATTTTTTCACAGTAAAACGGCGCTGCTTGTTTTCCCAGCTTGACCCCGGGATGATGACAGCAACACGGAGAGCGACACTGACATCGCCACAGAAAAGGTATGTGACGAAGCTCTTCTGAGGCTGTTCAACTCCGACACTGAAGAAGAGGACTTCAGTGGTTTCAGTGTGCAGGAGGACGATGAATAAACTAATCAATAACTTTTCTGTTTTGTTTGATTCTGATCAGTTCAGTTACGTTCAGTTTAACTACGTTTTCAGTTCAGTAGATATCTGCGGCTTTTAGCCCGGTGAGGCTTATATTATGGTGCACTCTATAGTCCGGAAATTACGGTATGTTTAATAATAAAAATTGAAACTAATCATGTTCTAAATCCTCAACTGTATGTTTGATATTAGTGAAGGCTGACCTCGGGTTTCATTGGGTGTGTAAGTGACGCGTAGCACTATAGGATCGCTTCAGACGCGAAAGATCACAAAACCACCTATGAATTACAAGATTACGTATAAGGCAAGATGAAAGATGGAAGTATGTTTTCAAAAGGTGTGTTTTTTATGTTTCACAGGTAATGACATACTTTTTTTTACTAGTCAAGCAACTACAAATCTGCACGTGACTTTTATTTTGAAAATTTAGGATATTTTACCTTTCTTTTGTGTTTGAATTCCTGTATCCAAACTGCTGAGCTGGATACAATTAAGGCATTCACCTATTCACACACACACATTCACACAATGATGGGGATGAGCTACGATGTAGCCACAGTTGCCCACGCCCATGCATTGACAGAGGTGTTTGTCTTGCGCAAAGGCACAACAGCAGCATTCTCTAGTGGAAGCTGGGATGAAGCCTACAATCTTTTGATTACTGGACAACCCACTCAACCTCCTGAGCTACTGCTGTCCCATGTAGTGTGTAAACAAGTCATAGGGATGACTTGTTGATGCCACAATTCCCCATCTCTGCTTGCAACATAAATGACGCCTCCCTACGCTTCTGGGAAATTTCCAAAGCACGATGCTCTGTGGCCGCTGAAACGCCCCATCCACTGTAACAGCAGCAAATAGCTGCTAACTACACATTGACGACATCACACAATTCTCAAACAGCCGGTGGAAAAGTACGGTGAAGCTAAAAATCATCTCCAGAAAAATCCATGTATTTATTTGCCGAATTGTTTTTAAGCACTCTAAAGCAATGTGACTCAGGTTGTGTCACGCCTAAAATGGTCCGGGGGGGAACCATTCTATGTTCTCAACCTTTTGATTAGATTCTGTGATCTGCCTGCAGTTATTTGGGGCAATGGTGGCACAGGAGTTAAACGCTCACCCTGTAATCAGGAGGTTGTAGGTTCAAGCCCCGCTCAGTCTGTCACTGTCATTGTGTCCTTGGGCAAGACACTTAACCCCCCTTGACTGCTGGTGGTGGTCGGAGGGACTTGCCTTTGTCAGTGCGCCCCAGGGCGGCTGTGGCTACATCGTAGCTCATCCCCACCAGCGTGTGAATGTGTGTGTGAATGGGTGAATGACTGATTGAGTTGCAAAGCACCTTGGGGGGTTTCAGGACTCTAGAAGATGTTGTATCATATACAGGCCACTTGTCAAGGTTTTCAAACCTTTCATTGTTTAATGTTGCCATACCCCCCTTAGTTATAGTTTTTTTCATTTAGATTAGATTTGAAGTATGTTGACCTGCTGTTTTGAATTAGTTTGCATTCTAAATTGTTAAAGACCAAGTTCACTTGTCCTTTCAACACATTTGCAGTGGTCTCCAGTAAATATGAGTTGATCTCTGTGGGGAAAAAGCTCTTGTGCTCCTGTTTTTGGAAGGTGGAAGTGAGCCAGAGGAGCGGGGAGCAGAAAACGGCAGGATTTGGAGTATTATTTCCTGACATCTGTAAATCTCACATTGGACTGGCTAATGACTCTGTTTAGCAAATTAGAAGTTTTATTTAAACAAATAACACAAGGCTGGAGGAGTTCTGCTGTGTTGTGGAGTTGCTAATGCAAACGGTTAGCTGAGATACAGTCTGCTGTTTCCTGGAGGCTAAACCAACAGTCATGGGTCAATAGGGGAGTCCATGAATGCTAATTTTCAGTGTGGGCCTTAGATCTGATGGGCTTTTCTAATCCGAGTGTTTCCTAGTCTATTCTCTATCTGTGCCTAATGCAGGATGTAATGGTAGAGGACTATTTCCACTTTTAGCCTGCATGTGAAACTCAGAGTGACCAATCATATTTAAAAAAATAACAAGTAAAAATCTGTTTCTCTGTGCACTTGGTCAAAACTGGATTCTCAATAGTTATTATATATTTTAAATGAGATCTCACATTGAGACTAAATATTTTTTACATGTGATTCTAAATGTTTAGAGTTACATTAATCATTGTGTAATGTGATGACGGAGCTATTTCACCGAAGGTTATTTACCCTCTCTCCTCATATGCCTCTGACACAGAACTAATCTGCATGAGACTGCCTCAAGGTCATGCATTCACTTCTAAACTGCTTCCTTTCCAGCCCAAGAGAAGATTGAAGAAAGGACTCTTTCCTTTTAATAAATCAAAGAACTCTATTTTTAATAAAGCTAATCAAACAAAGTGTTAGTCAATAATAAAATGTTGACCGATCTGTGAAATGACAATGTTATGATTAGTAAGCTTTAATAAGTAATATGACTTTAATCTAGCTGCACTAGACACTCTGACTACACGTAATGTAAACGCATGACACATTGCTTTTACTCGTCCAATCGGAACCTTCCTTTCTGAAGCGTGGCATAGTCTCTGAGGTGTTTATAAATATGCCAACTTTGATTCGACCAGAAATCAAAACATCCAGATTAATAAAACCAGTCCCCACGCCATCTTAGTTCAGTTCTCTGAGTTCTCTACAGTTCACTGCAGTTCACCGCATTCTAAGAGAAGTATCGGACCGGCCACCCGGACTTCCTTTTTAAGCAAAGAACCGACAAGCTGGATAAAATCTGTTGCATTTTACCAACCAAGCAACGGTTCCTTTCAGAATAAAAGCTGAACTCACTGACCCTCTGGGTCCATCTGACGCTGTCAACCAACTGTCGCTTTTTACCTGGAAGCAATCCAAAGACTAGTCTGTCGTGCTGCTGACACTGTTTCATCGGCTCCGGTACCGAAAGGGGGGTTTGAGGACCTGGCAGTCTGGATCTGTACGGCGGTCTCATCCTGAAGGGTATGTGTGGAGCGACAACATGGCGTCTTGTGTATATGAAACTACGATCATAGCTTAAGAGCAAAACATCATTCAGACTTGCTTCTGCGGATACGAGAGTTCTGATGACAAACATCACTCACACATACACCATTCATCTCACATCTCATTCACACCATAATCCATCCATTCACTTAGAATTTACAGTTAGTCTTGTTTAAAGTTGTTTAGAAATAAATCTTCTTAAATTTTAAAGGTGACTCTCTCTTCTGTTGTCTCTCAGTTAATACCCTGTGTTACATAATCCCTGCAATAAAAAGTTCCAATCTTCTGGTTAAAAGTACCCAAAGATCCGTAAGATTGATTCCATATTTACTATGGAATCTTACGTCTCATGGCTCGTTAAATAAATGTAAATTAACCCCTTACAATTGAATTTTCACATTGATTTTTGAAGCTAAATGCATAAAAACATTGCTGTTCATTTTTTCATCAGAGTTACAAGAGTGTCAGCAGCAGAAGTCATAAATAACTGAACCAGTTTCTAGCTAGAAAGCATTATTTAACATTAATTAGATAACCCCAGTTAGCTAGAAGCCGGTGACACCAAATGAAGCTGAAGCAGTAACCCCCTGCGTGTCTAACAGATGTGTTTCACTACTAATGAATTATTACTTTCATACTGAATCCATTTGTAGAATAACTGCATGGATCAACTTTATATCAGCTCCTCCAAAGACGGTGGGATTTGTATGTTAAATGCCATTCAGTCGGGGAACTTTAGCAATTATCTGCAAGCATAATGATGCGGCTTCCCATCTGGAGTCTCAGTGCAGTTTGGACATGATGCTCAGTTCGCATTGCTCTTCCTCAGAAATCCTTACAAGCAGCACGGGAGTGATTGGAACTGCATTTCTTTGATGCGCTGGGATGCCTGTGCTCAGGTTGTTTTCATTCAGTCAGCATGCGCTGACTCGCAGCAAGACTCTGTCCGACTGTCTCTGCGTAAGCTTTTCTCTTCCTGCCAGTCTGAATGTGTGTTGATGAACCGATCTGCGTGCCTGATTTTCTTTTAGAACCCACCACCTGTAATTTGTCCTTCTGTTTGTATGTGAACCTTCTTGGATAAGAGACAAGCAACAAATAAATGAAGCACCACTTTGTGTTGCCGAGAGTGCTGCTTGATGTTGCTCATCCTCTGAATCATGTTAGCGCTGAGAGTTTCTAGTCATGTGAGACTTCTCTGCTTTCACCTCTTCGTGATTTAATCAATCACACTCTTGTATCTCTCTCTTCAAACCTCGGAAAGTAGATAATTACAGGTGCAACCGCTTCATTTTTACTTTTTGAATTCCCTTCCACTGTCTTAAACAGGATCGACTTCATCACTGATTCAATTTGCCAAGCTGTTTTTTTTCCCTCAAACATTTAACACATGCAGTGTTGATACAACCACCTGGCATCTTCATACCTCATACCAAGCGATTTCCATATGAAGGAGCATGCAGTATATTAGACACAGTTGTGCAGTTTTTTCTGGTGCTCTTTTCCCTAATTAGCCTTTCCTTTAATGCATAAACGCCAAATTCACGAAAAACAAATCTGCTTGCAGCAAGTGTGAATGAGAGAGAATTTACACGTCGACTGTTATCCTACCTTTCACTTCTCTGCAGGATTTCATTCCCTTTCTTCCAAAGGCTAATTGCTGGTGGCGAGGCCTGAGGCTTGCATTCAAGAGTGACTTCGCTGCCTGAGCGAGCTTTTAGCAAAGCCTTTAATGGACTTCTGGAGAAACTTGGAGCTGAAGCTGTGTGTAGGAGCAGAGGGAAGGTATGAGATTAAAACATATAGAAGTCTTGATCATCGTCTCATGAGTTCTCCTGCTTGACTTCCTTCACCTTTCAGAAACTTGGAATCTCAGCATCATGTCTCATGGAGTTAAAAGCTACAAAGCAGGCTCGTCACCCCATCCTTCACACACGCACACATTCATGCATGCACACATTCATACATGCACACCCCATCATACGTCCAGCCAACAGCGGCTGTCTACATTAATCATCACATTTGAGTTAGCCATCATTAGAACCCTCAAGTGTCATCACGTGCACAAGGAGAGAATTGAATTTCTCGTGGAGCCAGTCATCAAAGCTTTGCAAATAAATCAATACCGGGTCTACATGAGAAAGCATGCACAATGCCACAAGGCAATGTGTTTGTAGTATCCAGATCAATAGATGAAATGACTGAAAGTAAAATGAGACACTCCATCAGATTCATATTCTTGCTGGCAGAGCCCACGGAAACATCAAATGGGCGTGCAGACTGATTCCTGAGGAACATTAGAGCTCAGGGCTGCTTTTCATCTTAGCAGATGATCAAACACACACACAGATAAGCTGAATAAAAGCAGAAGGAGGGAGGCAAACTTACCTAACACCATTAGCTGGGCGCTGGAATAAATACTGCCATGTTTGTTTTCAGCCACACACTGATACATCCCGGAATCTGACAGGTTCAGCGCAGTTATGGAAAGGGCTCCATTTTCTATTTGTACACGCCCCTGCGGAGTAAAGAGAAACAATTCTGCATATCCGTTGCAAGGCCAGCCTATTATGTCTAAAAGCACAGCAGCAATTATTTGTGCACCATGAAGGGAGGCCCGCAGAGGAGGGGAATAAAAACACTCCCATCCAGCATTGTGTTTCAGCGTGTGTCTTCAGTCTAGAATAGATGAGGAGGCAGCCGAGGAAAGTGTGAAGTTGCATCTTAGACACAGAAATTAAGCAATACTGGCAAAAGCACGGTCAGTCTATTAAAATGTCACTTATTGTCTGAAGTCGTTGAGCTGTAAAACCCGTGATGGCAGCTCAGATGGTGATGGGTGATTTTACCTAAACAAGCTGGTAAGAGATCCTCCGGCTGCAGGGGAGTGACAGGGCCTCCTTAATTACTCCATATCAATAGAACAGCCAGGGCACCATATAATCTTGGTAGAACCACATCAAATTGGCGCTATAGATGTACATTTGGCTCGGATCGGTCTAATCCAGTTGTGTTATCGTCCCAAAGAAGCGTTCCAGCATTTATCAAACGTCTTGCTTTAACCTTCATTATCCTTTAATTATACAGATATGGGAAAGAGCTTTGTCGGGCTAAATGATAAAAGTGAATACAAGCTAATGAAAGGATTAACGTGTTGGGTAATGTATTGATTTGATTCTTTTTCCTCGTTATGGCAGCCACAGATCTCATACATCAGGAGTCAGAGAAAGGCTAGCTCAGCTGGTCAAGCTCACTTCAGACTGATGATCTTCTGAGGAAAAATATATTGGTAGGCTGACTGTTAATCTGAACAAGATAGAAACAGAAAAAAGTTACACAAAAAAGGTTGTTTTGTTTCAAATAAGAGGAAAAAGGAAAGTTCAATCAGAGATTTGCTCAGCGGCCCTTTAGAAAGTTGATTTTTAGGTGAAACAATGAGAGATTAGCACTCTGTTATGTTTTTCCTTTTTTTAGTATGATGCCAGTTTTTGACCACAGCTGTTTTCAGATTTTTCACGAGCTTTTGCATCATTGCTACATGGCGGTTACTAATGCTTGATGTGTATCAGCGATGTTGTATCTCAGGTGCAGCCTAGCGTGCAGTTTTTCGTAGTTGCTGCATGCCGTTCTTCTCACCCATCTTTACCGGCATGGTCTTTGAAACGTTGGAGCACTGTTCTGAGAACATCTGAACTTTGAGGTGATGTAGCTGCAGCATTGGTGGTTCGTGTGTGTACGTTGATGAGCCTTAAGCCTGGTTTATGCTTCTCCGTCAGCTCTGCAAGGGACAGACACGCACGGATTGACGGAAGCGTTTTGCTCTCATACTTCTCCGTATCCTGGGGAGTGTTGCAAAGCAATTCCCCACCAGGACAGCAGAGGGCGTAGCGCTGTTCTGTGGTATCATGTCATGTATCGGTCCAAGATGGTGTGTTTATATTGTGTTTTTTGTGTATATAAGAGACTTTTAACACGGACATATTTGTCTCTCATTCTCCTCCACCTCTTCATGCGCTCCCCACCTCTAAACCCACGTTTCCTGTCATTTCCGTCCACAAATAAAACGCTTGCTGCGCATCTTTTCACTCCTCCAGTCACGGGAGGATGAAACGTTCATATTTTTAGAGTTTTTTCGCGAGGTATTCTTCAAGCTTCTCCGTGTCTGCCGCTAGTTAAACTCGGCTCTCTTTGCAATGGCGGCGTTGTAAACAACAGCGGCATCCTGACCAATCACAAGCTTGCGTAATCCGTCTCGTTCGACGGAGGTTTAAAAAAGTGGGCTCGACTCCGTACGTACTTGCGTGCCCTACGCAGGGATGGATAATGGCGTTGCGTGTCCCCGCACTGATGCAGACGGAGAAGCATAAATCAGGCTTTACTTAAAGCTTGAATTTAAGCCCAGGTAACCAAAAACAGGTCATTTTCAAAAACAGTGTAAAACATTACAGTCTGAAAATCCAACATCAGATAGAAATCTATGTTCAGATACATCTCAGTGCTTTTTGTGTAAAGTGTAGAACAAGTAAAAAGAAACCAAAGATGAAAAAAAGTAAAAATTCTTGCCAGTGGCTCATTAAGGTCACTATGGTAACCACCAGTGGCTTGAACAAAACAGTTTCTCATTCTAAACTTCCCGTTAACCGATGTTGGAAAGGGACGCTACAACCTGGAACAAAGCTTTGCGTGCACAAGAGGGTTAAGGTTAGGATGGGGGTGAGGGGGAGGTTAAATAGCAAGAGGGTAAAGGTCACAATTCGGTGAAATCTCTATTTTACCGCGGCAGTTGGAAAACAACCTCTGGCACAGCAGGTCGCCTCCCGACGTGCTGTGGCTCCCAACGCGTCGGAAACAAACGCTTAGTCACCCCACGTCATTTTTCGACGCTTGGGGTGTGAGAACATGTTGGAACATTCATGAATCACAGCAGGCTGTTTCTGATTTGATGTTTTTTCATTTGATGCATTCAGAAAACGGACAAAACTTGTGATGGATCCAAGATCAGAACAGTTGATTTAGTGCCTATGCATCAGCACACAGACATCCACTGCATTTCTGAAGAAGTGAACACTCACGAATAAACCGTCACCTTTAAGGTTTCAGTCACAGTTGGACAGCTTGTGTTTTAATGAGAACTAAGAAACAAAACTAAAGATTAACCCCACCAAGTCCCAGAACAATACAGCAAATACCTCAGCTGTAAAAAAAAAAAAGCTCATAATGCACCATTTCAAGTTAATGCTGCTAAACATTTAGCAGAGCTCCATCTGTGCACAAACACCAGATGAGACAATCTGTTTGGGTAGAATAGAAACGTATGGCCTAATCAATGTCAAACGTGGAAAGGAAGGTGAGCTGATTTCAGGCACTCTTTATTTTGGCGATGAGTTCTGTTTTTCTTTGAAACCGTTAGTACGAAGCATAAAAACCTGATAAACCATCCTACCTCCACCATCAGCTGTTCTCCATTCTTCAGCCAGCTGTAGGATGGTTTCGGTTTTCCACTGGCCTTACACTCCCAGAAAAGGTTTTCCTCTATGGACTTAGCTGTGTCTGCCACGGTCTGGAACCACTGGGGTTTAGCTTGGAATATAAAAAAAAAGAAAAAGGAAAAAAAAAAAAGAAAAAATAAACATTCAAATATGCTTAACATCCCTGAGTTGGTAAATGCAGAATAGGTTTTATAATGATCTTGAAAGTCTCTCTGCATTTGACCCACCCCCATAGGAAGCGGTGAGCTGCAGCTATGGCTGCGCTCGGGAATGTTGAGGGTCTGACCTCATGAGGAAATTACTATGCAGTGATTTTCTCCAAAATGACTGTGCTTAAATTGCTCTGAAAAGCAAATAATCACATCAGTGCCAAGAAACTTCATTTCCCATGATGCTTTGCACACGGAAGCATTGGGTGATGTCACCGCCTAGTACCAGAAACACGTTCTGCGCATGTGCGGGAAGCCGTGGAGCTTTTCCCGCAAACTAAGACCATAAATCTTCAGCAGAGACAAAGAAACCTCGTTCTTTTGCCCAGGATACCTGGCGGTTAGGACACGCTTGTCAACGCTCCGACAACTTGAGCACGCGGAAGCTCTAAGTGCCCGAGTTGAGCCCACGGAACTGCTGGAAACTAAACTGCAAGCCCATCAGATCTGCTCGTTTCTGCTCCCCTCCAGCTGATGTTTGAGGACACAGAACTGCGGAGGAAAGCAACAACTCCATCAAGCACGCTGTAAGTTATAACTCAGCACAGAAAGAAACTTTGCTGTCTCTGTCCAGCCCGTGGAGAAACACTCGTGAACGCCAAACAACGGAGAAAGCATCAAACCGACGGATGACGCTGGAAACTGCGGAGAAAAACGGAGAACCGTCAAGTCATAACAGCGGGGGACGCCTTGCTGCTTTGGTGATCAGAAAACTCATTTTTTTTTCTCCTTTTCTTCTCCCGTTTCCTCTATAGTCTCGAATAAGCAATAAACCGCGTCTATTGCTTAAAAAGTAGCTTCGTGTTTTCCTCTTTCGTCCCAAACACGTCCGTCGGGTCATTTTGAAAGAATAAACTGCTTATTGATCATTGTTTGGTATCTTAAAATGGTTTCTGTCATGGCCAGGCTGAAACTAAAAGATATTAATTTGTGATTAATCTTTTGTGTTGTTTCATGATCTTTTGAAATGTTTTGAGTGATTTAAGGTTAAGTTACTACTGATTCTAAGTGCTTTGGAAGTTAAAGTGCAAGTTGCCACCCACACTTTAGCCAGACAAAGGGGTCAGCCATCTTGTATTCAAGACTCCATTTTGAATCCATACACACGCACACACACACACACACACACACACACACACTACTCCTTTGTGAGAACAAAGGACCCCATTCATACATCCTCCATCACATGCAAACACATCCATCTTCAATCATATCACACGGTTATTATTCATCTATTCCACTGTTTATTCATTTGACAAATTGTTAATTAAATGTTATAAAATTCAGATTTTTGTGTCCAGTAGCTTTGTTGTGTCGAAGAGAAGTCTCTGCTCCAAGGATTCTACGAACTTCAAGAAAGACTGATAAGAGTTTTGGATTCAATTTTTCCCCGGAAAAAGGGGAATGGTGCCCCGTATATCTAAGAATATCTTAATTAATTAATAAATCAGTAAATATTCCCATATTTACAGAATTTATTGAAGAATCCAAAAGTAAGTTGAAGCTTACTAATTGTTCGCTCCTAATAACCCCAACATTTTATTGGTGCCCCGTGTGAGGCTTGGATACACAGAGATTTCTATCCGGCACAAACAAACAAATAAATCCAAAGAGCTTGAATTAAAAATAATCCGTTGTTCAGCCTTGAACCAGCAACAGAGTGGTGCTGATTTCGCTGAGCAGGAAGCTGCATCGAACTCTCACCAGTAACTCGGTGCTTCTTTAAAGGTGCAACGTGTAAATTAATTCTGGTTGACCTTTTAGGTTAAAAAAAAAAAAAAAAAAATTCAGTTTTTCCTTAAAGGTGCAACGTGTAATTAATTCTGGCTAACCTTTTAGGTTAAAAATTCAGTTTTTCCTTAAAGGTGCAACGTGTAATTAATTCTGGCTAACCTTTTAGGTTAAAATTCAGTTCCTCATTAAAGGTGCAGCGTGTAAGTAATTCTGACTAACCCTTTTAGGCTAAAATTAACTGCTAATTCAGCGACTTTAACTCACAGTGGCTATTGTAACTAACTGAAACCTTCACTCAAAGACTGATAACACCCTGTTTGCTAATATTCTGAAGGAATAACTAGCATATTTAACACTGCAAGTGTTGTAAGACGTTGCTACGGCAACGCACCAGCTTTTGCTAAAATACTGAAAGGAATAGTATTTTAAGCGTCAGTCACGGCATTCCGTGCAATCTTAAAACGCTAAAACCTGTGCGCACAAAGGTTAATTTAGTGTTTTTCTGCTACAAAGCTAGCAGTTGCTGCCAAAGGTGCAGCCTTGAGCTATCTGCAGAAGCTCTACTAGGCTATTTTTGGTTCGGTTGTTAAAATGGAGGGACAGAGTAGTGAACTGACCAACTCCCAGCAACCAGGTGACGCTGCGGCCCACGACTATGAACCTGGCCTACTTTCTGGACAAATATTGTCCAAACTGGTCGCGGTTGCTCGAGAACCCGACTACCCTTCTAGGGATTTCACTGAAGAACAGCGTAGCGTCGAGCTAGAAGCTGTAATCGATCAAATAGAAAACCCGGATGGTACAAAACCAATCCAGGTTCACTTAGCTAAGTTAGCCCTGATCCTCTATCAGAGAGGACTCCAACGTGGTCAGAAGATCATGAACCTCCAGAGTATGCTAGCTGAAAAACAGCGAAATGGAAGGCTGATCGAGGAAGACGACACCCGCACCGATTCTGGGGAAGATGGGGAGGAGACCCCGCCCCCCTCTGCTGATGACAACAGACAGTGGGAAGGGGGGAAACACCAGGACTCTCTGGACGGACGCACGCCGCAGGGGAGAGATGAAGCTCATCTGTCCCAACCTTCGGCCCCGTTCCCTACACACACTATAGGGCATTCAGGACCACCTAGGGGCCGAGGGCAGTTCGCCCTCGAACCCCAGGTTGGACCACCACCCCCATCTTCACGGCCTTCTCAATCAGTGAGAAGTCGACCAGCTGAGCGGCACCTCTATTTAGACCGCTCCCCCAGTCCACGAAGGGTGCAAGGTGCCGATTGGGGTTATGCACCCCAACCTGCACCTCAACCATCCACCCATCCTAGCTACTCCGGTATTCGGCATGCCGATAACCAGCTGCAGGACAAAGCATCATACGCCAGTCCGTATCCGGACAAAGTGTATTACGCAGAAGCCCCAGTTGAAAGACGCAGGCTGCACTACGCAGACGTGCCCTGGGAAGAGGACCTCCCAAGACACCCACGTGACGTGCCAGCAGCCCGCCACAACATGCCGAACCCCGATTTGGGCCCCAGGAGTCAACATTGGGAGCCCAGAGCACACCAGCGATATCCAGCGCCTTCTGAGACAGACCGTGGGTCAGAGTCAGAGGATGACGCGCCGTACCGTGAGTCAGGGCTCCGTGTACGTCAAATTGAATCGCTAGCTAAAGACATAGAACGCTTTGATCCTAACACCAATGAATCCAATGTCGACGATTATCTCAGGGAGATAGAACGTTGTCTGCTTGATCTTCCAGCACCCTCTTCAAGGGAAAAGCTCAAGCTAATTTGGAAAACTACATCTAGAACGGTGCACGGTTTCATGGAAACTCTACCACCTGACATTCGTGATCGGTACTCCTCGCTCTGCCGAGCGTTGAGAGATGAATACGCCACGTATGCAGACTCTGCGTCTGCTACAATGGGGGCCTTCTCCATCAAACACGGGAGGAACGAACCCCCCAGAGAGTATTATCGCCGACTCAAAAGTGCTTATTTCAAAGGTCGAAACGGCCCTGGGCTCGAGGAAGACCCTGCCTTCAGATCCCTGTTCATTCACAACCTGCACGAGTGTGTTCGCTCCGAAGTCTCAATGTATTGTCGGATGAAAAAACTGACAACTCAGGAGATTAGGAGATACGCTCAACAGGCTTGGGAAGCCGGCGGAAAGCCCCAAAAGCCTGACGCACATCACCGCGTCATGCACCTAGCTCCCGACGCCGAGCCGCGTTTGGAGCTTGAAGGCACAGAAGCTCCACCCACTAAGCCAAAATCTGCTAAACCTAGACCTGTTAAACCGCGAGAGCAGTCCCAATCTCCTCAACAGGGGAAGGGGGGTGCTGATTGGCCGCCTAGGTCTGGACAATCAGACAGGAAGTGGCCCAACCAAAACCAACGGCAGGCAGGTCGGAACAGTGGAAGGTTTAAGGAGCGCCGCCCACAGGTAGGTCCCGAACACAAGTCCGCAGGTGAGTACTTGACCAAAGCCGACCTCCAGGAGATGTTTCAGCAGTTCCTAGCTAAACAGAAGGAACAGCTGAGATCTGCAGATGAGACCCCTGCACCAAAGTCTGCTTCTAAGAAGCCAGACCCAGAGCCAACGTCCGCATGACTAGGCGTGGCTCAACCTCCCAGCGTGGCCAGGACCTACCTGATCAGCTGGGGGAACACTACTGGTAGATCACAGGAGTCTCCTGAAATCTACCCCCCAGAGAAACCTGATGCTAAATTTCTGAAGTTCCTTGGTGACTTAACAAACCATGATCATGCTCGCCGTTTGTACTGTAGCACCAACGTAGGTGGGTGCATACAGGTTGATGCTCTGCTGGATACCGGCTCAGAAATCACCCTGATGTGCTTCACATTGTTCCATCGCGTGTCTGACACCATGCGGTCGCTCGGGAAACCAGTCCAGGTTGAACCTTGTGACCTGAAAATCACCAGCTACACCCAGACCCGGGAGTGTATCACTCACCGGGCGTGGCTGGACATCACCTTCCAAGACATGACTCTGGTTCACCCGTTTTATGTCTGCCAGCTAGACACTGAACCACTTCTCGTTGGTCAGGACCTGCTTGAACGTCTAGCTCCCCTCATCGACTGCCAGAAGGGTCAACTGTGGGCCCAGGTGGACACACCTAAGCCCT